CTTGTCATTAGGCAAGGTCCCATCTCGGAGATACTGAATAATTGGGATCATCTAAGAAACTGATTTGGTTGTGACCACGGTCTGTTCAGGTGAGCTGATACTTGAGATCTCTATGTAGCAAACAGGAATACTTTTTGGCGCATTCGAGTCCAGCGACTAGGCTTTTCTTGCCAAGGCATCCGCGACAGAATTATTGCCTCTAGGAATCTGTGTGATCGTGAAGTGCTTAAAAGACTCAAGCACGACCTTGGCTTTCTTCAAATAACTGATCATGCTTTCTTCCTTGGCTTGATACTCTCCCAAAATCTTATTAACAACTAGCATGGAGTCGTTGTGAATACTGATCACGGTTGACCCCATTTCTTTTGCCAACCATAGACCAGCAAGTAGTGCTTCATACTTGGCCTCGTTGTTGGTAGCTTTGAACCCAAACCGAAGAATACCGTGGATGCGAGTCCCCTCGGGACTAAGGAGGACAAAACCTGCCCCGAACCTTTTCCTGTTCGAGGATCCATCGACACAGAGGCTCTAGGTTGATATATTCTGAATAGTTTCCTAGGTGACTTCGCTGGACTATTGCTTGGATTCCTGAATCGGTTGGTGTGAAAACTCCGAAATGAAATCGGTAATAGCCTGCCCTTTAATGGTTGCTTTTGGTCTGTACTACATATTGAACTGACTTAGTTTCATCGTCTACTTGAGCAACTTACCCGAAGCCTCTAACTTTTGGAGGACTTGCTTAAGCGGATAGTTGGTCACTACATGGATAGTGTGGGCATGGAAATAAGGTCGCAACTTTCTGGAGGCGACTAGCAGGGCATAAGCTAATCGCTCCATTTTTGGAAACCGCATTTCGGTGTCCAGCAAACGCCTGCTCCATAATATACTGGTCATTGGGCTCTGTTTTCTTCCCCAATCAGAGTTGCGTTGACTGCATGCTGAGAGACGGATAGATACAGGAGAAGAATTTCTTAAGAGAGCGGCTTGGACAAGAGAAGTGGCTTTCTGAAATGCTCTTTTATGCTCTGGAAAGCCTTTTCACAGTCCGAAGTCTACTCGAACTTCTTGTTGGCCCTGAGTATATTGAAAAATGGCAAGCAGCAATCTGTTGTTCTTGATATGAAGCGACTAAGAGCCGCTATTCACCAATTAAGACTCTGAACCTGTTTTCGGTTGGTCGGGCTCTCATATCAAGGAGAGCTTGAAGCTTTTCGGACTTAATTTCTATTCCCCCCTAGTTAACCATATACCCCAAGAATTTTTCCGATGATACTTCAAATGAACACTTCAAGGGGTTGAGCTTCATTCTGTACCTTCTGAGTATACCAAACATTTCAGCGAGATGTGCTATGTGATCTGAAGCGACATGCGATTTGGCCAGCATGTCATCAACATAGACTTCCACTAATTTTTTGATCTGCTTGGAAAACATTCGGTTAATCAGCCATTGGTAAGTCACCCCAACTTTTTTTAGGACTAAGGGCATAACCTTATAGCAATATAGCCTCCGATTTGTAAGTATGAGTCCATGCAAATACGTCAACATTTTCCCTGAGGAAGCTTGTCAGGTCGTTGGCAAGTTGAGGGCTGAGATTACTCCTGATCCTCAACACTCGGGTCGACTCGCTTTGATCGATCGATACCTCGGATAGGTCCTCGATCGACCCACTGTGAAGGCATTCCAGGATGTGAGGATCCATGTCATCCTCAACTGGGTCAGGCTATGGCTCGATCCTGCTGATCGCCATTGCCTGCTCAATGATGTCAACTGGTGCTCCCTTTCCCTTGCACGCCATCTGCACTGCCCTCACATAGCAGTTGCGAGATGCACATTGAGATTCACTTACTTTTCCTATCCCCGTCGGGGTAGGGAACTTCATCTTCAGATGGTATATTGAGGTGATTGCCTTGAAGTTTCATAGTAGATGTCGTCCCAAGATGCCATTGAAAGCGGAAGGACGGTCTAATACTAAAAACTTAGTCATTTTGGTCAGCTCGTTGGTTTCTCCCAACGTGACCTGGAGCGAGATCATCCCCTTTGGAATCAAATGATCGCCAGTGAAACCATACAGAGGGATAAAGGCAGGCTTCAGATCTGCCTCGTCTAGTTTCATCTTCTCAAAGGCTCGCTGAAATAAGATATTCACGGTGCTTTCATTGTCTGCCAATATCCCGTGGACTTCGTAACGACCTATTTCAAGTGTGATGACGAGAGCATCCTCATGGGGATGATGCAATCACACCACGTCTTTCTTGAAGAAGGTGATTTCCTCCTCTCTGCGAACCTTGGTGGGTCACAGCGTCGGGCCCATGCACTTATGGGGTCATGACAGGCTTCCCGAGCATACCTTTCCTAGGCACCTCAAGAGTTCCTCGCGAAGTGTTATCCTCCAAAGATGATCCCCGCACTGTAGAGACCTTTGCGATCACGACGCCTCTTCCCTGGTTCCTCTCGATTTTTCTCCCGAACAAGAGCTGAGTCATCAACATACTCTTTGAAGTGCCCCTATTTAATGAGGTCCTCAATTGCTTTCTTGAGGGCCCGACACTCATCAGTGTGGTGCCCATTATCCCGATGATAACGGTAGTACTTTTTATTATTTCTGGCTGAGAGGAGATCCTTTATGGGCTCAGGCTATCTGAGCAAAACGGCCTCCTCTAATTTATCCAGAATAGCCGATACCGAGGCATTCAGAGGAGTGTATTGACTCTTGTCGCGATTGTGACGAGGAACTGGGGCATAAGATTTCTTAGGCTCGTACCGCTGCTTCTTTTCTGTTCGCTGATCATCATTAGCCCATCTACGATCAGCCCTCCTATTCTCCCCCCAGTTGGGAGCACTGCCCGGCAGACCAGGGTCATGGCGACTAAGAGCTGCCATGAAACTTTCGATACGGAGGTATTTTTCAGTAAAGTTGTAGAAGCGAGTGAGGGAAACATCATCCTCAGATTGCAGTTCCTTCCATAAGTCTGTCTGCAGGCGAACTCCCACAATGATGAGAGTCCGAACAGACTTTTCAGGAGTATGAGCCACTTTATGGAGCTCCTTGTGGAACTTGTCTATATAAGATTGGAGGGGTTCACCCCTTTCCTGCCGTATATTGCTCAGGTAGCTTAGTGGCATTGAGAACTTCATGTTCACCTAGAAGTGCCTCAGAAATGTCGAGCTCATTTAAGGCCATGAGCCGACCAATCCTGTTGGAAGTGACTTGAACCAACACTTGGCATGGGCGGTAAGGGTTACTGCCAAGCAAAGACATTTTGCCAAGTCAAAGACTTGGTCGAGTTCCATGAGGTCGTTTAACTCGTATAAATGATCTTGCAGATCAGAATTCCCATCGAATGCTCGCATGTCGGGCATTCTGAATCTCGATGGGAGAGGGGCAGCTAACATTGCTGGAGAAAAGGGAGACGCCTCTGCGACCTGCCCTTGCTCATTCTGCTGAGCCTTAAGTTGATCCAGAGCTCACTGTAGTTCCTCAATCTGAGGCAGCAGAGCTACCTAGGGATCACTTTCCGCAACGTGGGTTCAACCTTCATGGTTGCTGTTAAAGAAAGACCTCAAATCGAACTGTTCCTCACCTCGGTCGGAAGCTCAGCCAATCTCAGCACACGCTGGGTAGAGCCGTGTGATTGCATCCTCTGATTTGGGGAGTCTTCTTGACCTCCGCGGTGGTACGAACTGACCCTTGGAGGATGGGAATCCCCTGCACGACGACGACCGAAGTCATCATTCTGGCGATATTGGGAATCTCCCTGCCTTGCACCTTTATGGGAGTGCTCGTGCGTCATGGCGCGGGACGGCTCACGCTATGACATATCTTCGAGTCGCAATGCCACGAGTAATCTACCCAGGGCGTGATCGGTGTTCGCTAGTCCCTCAGAGCCCTTGGGTCCGCTATGAGCCACTTGCTTTCCCTTTCCCTGACGCACTACAATGCGCGTGGTATGGGCTTTCGCTCTTTTCAGCACTTTCACGTGACCTGCAGGGGTTTTTGGCTATGGCACCGCCTCATTGGATTCGAGTAGCGTGACCTAATCCAATCGGTCTAGCCTTTGGCGGACCGTTTGAAGAGTATTATTGAACCTCTCTAGGTAACTTATGACGCTTGGGTCGAGCCGCGAGCTTAAAGGAATATCCCCCGCAATATTCTGTTGGACTGGCGGCATTTCGGGAGAAGTGTCCTCCTGGGTCTAGGGGATTTCTTCATTGCCATGATTGGTTCGCTCAGATTCGAAACCGCGAGCCATTTGTTGTTGTGGGACCGATTAGTCAGAGATTTTTCTGATGAAGAGTAGGTACTAAATCAGGCCCTCCTTCTAGCGCCAAACTGTTGATGCTTGATTTTGACACCAACTACTCGCACATTTAAAATGCTAAAATGACTTAGAAGTCACACATGATATGAGAGGATTGAATCAAATAAAAGGTGAAGAGCAATATTTAAAGTGGTTCGGATGCTCTAAAGCGAATCTTACGTCCATTGCTATTATATTAATAAGAGAGAATGATCAGGTCGCGTTCAGCGAGCTGAGTTACAGTTTAGAAAGAGAGCTATCTCAGTGTAAAATCAGTTAACCCCTTAAATGAGAAGGAAGTCCTCTATTTATAGAGGGAAAGTTCAAGGTAATGATTATGAAATCTGCAAGCGGGTAGGTGTCTTGCAAATCCTTTCTTTGCGTCCCATTGATCACTTGTGCAAGGGATTTCCTCGATTAAAGTAGGGCTTTGACACGTGGGGGATCTCTAGCCACTTACTGGCTTGGCACTCACCTGCTGCACTGACAGGAGTCATGCCACTTGTGCTAGGCGTGACGTGGTCGCACCTGGACAGCGTAGAACCCTTCTGAACTCTGACCATCCTTTACTAACGAGGCTCCACATCAGCCCTACTTTTTTTGGTATAACACCGGTTTTTACGGTTTAGTTATCGGAATTGGGTCGTGATTTCGTTGAGAAGTGCTTAAGAAAGGAGCCAAGTGAGCGGTGGAGCTGTGATCAGCTCTTACAGCATCCGTTTTTACTATCTGTAAATAATACAATCACAGTCACTGAGTCATCTCCGCGTTGCGTGCTCGATTGGGTCAACTCGGAGTTCCAAGAAGACGAAGACGATTCGTATTGTGAGAATTTCGAAAGTTCAGCCAGGGAAAGGATCGGTAAATTGGCTAGTTCATCAGGGGCAAACTGGGAATCAGACGGTTGGGTGGCGGCAAGAGATTACGAGGAAGAAGAGGTAAACGAGGGAACAAGGAGGGAATATTCGAATGTTATGAACACTGAAGCAGGGACAAGTTCGGTATTTGACAAAGGGGCAAACTCGAAAATTGAAAATATTGGTGGTTCTGAGTTTGGGTGCGGTGGTGGATGTCCGAGCTGTCATAGCGAGTGGCAAAAAGTTGAATTAGCGGTGGAGAGTCCGGAGACGGGCATATACAGAATGTGTAATTTATTATTATTATGCTTCAACTGTTTGAGAATATTCAGATATATTTTATTGATATTATATATTTTTATTTTTTATATTCTTTATACATGTGAATGGAATGGAACCAATTCAATTTCGTGTTTACAGCGTTGTTCTTGCCTTACAAGGGATTGAACCGTGTTGTTTTTCAATTGCTTAATTCCGAAGAGTTTATACGAAGAATCTGGAATTGGCACCTTTAAGATGTAACCCCAATGAAATTGAAGATGGAATTGCACATGATTCCAACTCACCATAATTTATTTATATATAAAAAAAGAAAGAAACTACTGTAATACTAATGGCATCATGTGTTGCATATAATTATCACTATCATTTACCTTAATATATATATATTTTTTTGGGTAATCAGAGTATCCCATCTAATTTGTATGCACCTTAACTGATTTTTGATATCTATTAAACACCTTAAACCATTTATCATAATTCAATACTATGAATCATCGTCTTTTTTAAATTGAAAAAGGAGAATAAATAAATAAGTAAATCACAAAAAAGTTTGTTATCTGTTTTTTCTCAAACTGTCTTTGTATTTGACTAGAATGAGGCAATTATATACGTTCAGCCTTTTGGGTCATCAAAGATAGTGCCTCTTTCCAACTTGCTTCAAACAATCTTTCACTATATATTAAGGGACAACAACAACGCAATTTTGCCAAAATATCTTCTAAATTCCACCCCAACTAATATAATCTACCATCACTAATCAAATTAATGTATATAACTACAACCAGTAGCGGATCCAGAAATTTTTTTTAGGGTGAGCCAAGATAAAAACTAATTACATATTAATATTTTTGTCTATTAATATTTTTGTTATGGTAGACCAAAATCCAAAAATTATATATATTAGTATCTTAAAAAAAAAATCGAGAGTGGGCTATGGCCCACCTAAAAGTGGACTGGATCTGCCCCTGACTACAATAAAGATTGGTTCACAGCCCAATCTTTGAAACTTATTTTCCCAATCTTGGCGTGGTAGCTCAGAATTGAGAAAGTATGACTAATTGTTGGATAGATAAGATCCATTGTGAGCTGATCAATTACCACGTTAGAATTGTGAGAGAAAGTTTATGAGATTAGGTTATAAGTGTAATATTGACCCTAAAACCAGAGTATGTTTATTTGATTACCAATGTAGTTGTATATCTAAACTTCTATTAATTTCATCGTTACTGTAGAATATATTTGAATTTTTATAAAAATAAAATAAAATGAGGACATACTAACACAATATGTAACATACAAGAGTTGACAATAATTAATAATAATTTGATAAAAAATTAGTCATTAGTGAAAGAAAAAGGGCAAAATTTGGTGAGCCTTGTATCATCTGCCAACAAACACAAATTTAAAACTAATTTTACGAACATCAAGAGATTCCCTGAAAGATTATTCATTATTGGTGTAATATAATGTTGGTCCATGTTTATGAGAGAGACACGAAAATCTTAAACTAGAATTTTGCCAACTAATCGCTTCTACTTCTTGTCTTGTGCTTTAACTGAACTATTTAATCTTTGACGGTTTGGCTTATCTGGAACATGCATTGAATTTGAAGCTACCCACTAATGACTGAACTTGACTAATTTATTATAAAGTTATAATATTGACTTGACTCTCTGTCTTGCTCACATTCCTACCAAACTGGAGCTAAGCTGTCTGGAAATTCCAGGGCACATCCAGCTTCTTCTTCACACGCACGTGTTTGTTTCCTATTAGATTGAATTTTATCATAAGCTTTATCTTCAACACGTCCAATTTATAACATATTAAAACGGGAAGGATCGAGGAAATTTCCATTATGGAGATTAAAGTATATGAAGTGATTTTTACATACCAATATTCTGAAAATTGGACCGCCCCTTGACCTGGTCAAAGGGCCCAGTATGTCAACACCCAACGTATCCAATAGGTTTAAAATCTAACAAATATATTTCTACAAAATTACACATCAATCCTTACAAGATTGAAATATGAAAAATGCACTATGATCTCGTAGGAAACCGCGAAGCAACCAGATGACAACGACGACGATCGATAGCTAATTAAAGTTTAGGATCATGGGGGTTTTGATGTGGAGATAAAGGTGATGCTAATGGTGATGTCAAGTGGGCTGGTTGACGCTAGAATATGTCTGAATTAGGGGGGAAGTCATTGAAATTGCTAATATTTGGTGATCTGATATTGTCATCGGGCCGGTTGAACCAGCACTTCGCAACTGTTTCGTTGGTCCAACCGCATGTCAAAGTCTGTTAATTGCTAAAATTGGTTTTACGGTTCCTAGTTCGATCAATCGAACCGGCCGGGTTTTAGAATTTTGATGTTAACTAATGTTCGGAAAGGGACAAGTTATTTGCTTGAAGAATAAATCTATTAAGAGGCAAGAGAGGTGGTTTGTTGACAAGTTATATGGGCCAAGCTTGAGTTGGGCTAACTTAATGACCAAGATGATCTGGTCATTAGAGGAAGTACTTAATACACTCGGATATATTCAGAGCACACCCACAATGGAAAATTTTTTACACATGAAGCTTAAATATTAAGAAAACAGAAATTAGAAACACGTGGCCCGCGTTTTACAAGAAAAGACAAAAAACATTTTTCCATTACCAAACAGGCCCCACATTTTTTAATTTCCAAAAAGCCCGGAGACTTATCAGTCTCACGCCTGCAGCGTTACCGCCATAACTTGCACATTAAGGTAGCAATAACAACCTTCTTACTCACTCTCCGCGCTCTCATTTCTCTAATCTCGAATCGGTCTTCTCCTCGCCACCGCCATGGCTGCCGCCAACGCTCCCATCCTCATGAAAGAGGCTCTAACGGTACCGCTTTAGATTTCATTCTCATTCTCATTTTATTTTATTTTTTTAAAGTTTAATTATTTTATACGTGTTGTTAATGTGATTACGTTCATATTGCAGTTAACGAGTGTAGGGATCAACAGCCAGTTCATAAACTTTACACACGTAACAATGGAGTCGGACAAGTACATTTGCGTTAGAGAAACGTCGCCGCAGAGCAGTGTTGTTGTTATCGATATGAACTTGCCTATGCAGCCGTTACGCCGTCCTATCACGGCTGAATCCGCCATCATGAATCCTGATTCCAGAATTCTAGCTCTTAAAGGCACGTTTAAATATTTTAATTTTAGTTTCAAGGTTTTGTTTTGTAGTATATGCATGTATTTTCATTTGTATATAAATTAAAATGCGAAACTTAAAATCGGGAATGCGAGCGCAAGAGTTTACTGAAATATAAAAACTTAATAAGAGGCCGCGAACTTTCGCCTAAAGTGAGCTCGTTAATAGACAAAAAATTTACTGCTATAAACTTGTTTAGAAGAGAGGACTGTTTATTTGTATGGCTAATGCTTGGTTTCTGTGGTGTTCAATTTGAAGCTCGAGTGCCAGGAGCCACTCAAGATCACTTGCAAATATTTAACATTGAATTGAAAACAAAAGTGAAAGCTCATCAGATGCCGGAGGAGGTGGTTGTTTTTTCCTCTTAATTAAGTTGTTAAAGTTTGAAATTGTATTTGATTATGAATTGGTTTATTTGTAGGTTGTCTTCTGGAAGTGGATTAGTGCTACAAAGGTAGCTCTGGTGACACAAACTTCAGTATATCATTGGTCGATCGAAGGCAAGTGATCCGGATAGCGTGTTGTATCTTTTGCAATTTTGTCACTTTAATTAAAATAGTTTGTGCTGTGTTTCTTTGGTTCTTGTTGTTTATTGTTTTAAAATCTGCTTTTCTCTTCGTTGTATCTCATGTGCAGGGGATTCTACCCCTGCAAAGATGTTTGAGCGAACAGCTAATCTAGCAAATAATCAAATAATCAATTATCGTTGTGATCCTACTGAGAAGTGGTTGGTCTTGATTGGAATTGCCCCTGGTCCAACTGAGGTATGTTGTTTGTGTGATTTATAGCAAATTATGATTTTCTTTATTCATAAATATTGTATGATTTTTTTTTCTTACTGTATTATCTATGTGTATTTGGTTACCCATGTAACTGTAAGAGAAACATGATCATCTATGAAACAGAGCAGACATTGGATGCTAATAGTTCACATGTTATGAGGTGTCTGGCTTCGTCTCCTTGAAAATGTTGATACATGAAACAGCTATGTTCTGTTAATATGTTTCAATATATCTTACCAGTCCTTGTGTTGATCACTGCTAGAAATGTTTACCCTGAGGGCAAATGAAATGTCAGATGCCATGGTTATGTTGTAAATTACATTTAACAATCAATTACTGTTTTCTAAATTTTCTTTCAGAGGCCTTCATTAGTCAAAGGGAGTATGCAACTTTTCTCTGTGGATCAACAGCGTAGTCAGGCACTTGAAGCGCATGCTGCATCTTTTGCCACAATTAAAGTGCGCTTTTGTCCTAGACTTGTGTTCTTTACTTGTATTTAATTGTTAAACGTGATTATTGTATTGTGTTTTGAGTGTTGGAATATTGTACCTGTTCTATACAGGTACCTGGGAATGAGAATCCTTCACTTCTTATTAGTTTTGCTTCGAAGTCCTTCAATGCTGGACAAGTAACATCAAAGTTACATATTATTGAACTTGGTGCCCAGCCAGGTTCATGTTTTTCTCATTGGCATTTTTCTTTATATAAACTCAGAGACATTTGCATACGGATGGGGATTTTCGCTAAGTGTCACCGGTTTGCCCTAGAACATTAGAAGCAAGCTTTCCTTGCTCGATGAAATTATGGGCATGGCTTTTTTTTTTTTCCCAATCTTGTGGTTTGAGTGAAATTGTATGGTACTAAATGTGGAATTTGTTTACAGGCAAAGCAGCATTCACTAAGAAACAAGCAGATTTATTCTTTCCTACTGACTTTGCTGATGACTTTCCAGTGGCAATACAGGTATGGGTGTAACTTTTATGTGTTTAATCATTTCCACACAGGTTCATGGATAATTAATCCACTAATTGTGGTGTCCAGATATCTCAAAAGTATGGTTTGATATATGTTATCACAAAGCAAGGACTTCTATTTGTGTATGACTTAGAGACAGCTACCGCAGTTTATAGAAACAGAATCAGTCCAGATTCTATTTTTCTGACAACTGAGGCTCCATCGGTAGGTGGCTTTTACGCCATTAACCGGCGAGGTCAGGTGTTGCTTGCTACCGTAAATGATAGTACAATTATCCCTTTTGTTAGTGGCCAGGTATGCTTGTTGAATCTTCCCAACTTTTTTGTACTTGAAGAAAAGAAGAAATGCATTTCTAATTAGTTGCTTGGCTGTTTTGCAGTTAAAAAATCCGGAACTTGCTGTTAGTCTTGCCAAAAAGGGAAACCTACCTGGCACAGAAAACTTGGTAATTGAATTTGATTTTGGTCTTTTTTTTTTAACATTTAACTTTCAGGAGTTCGGACTCAACCTACTTTAGGCTGAGTTTGGCTAATCTTATCAAGTTCCTATGAGTGCAATATGTAGTTATGGTGGAAAACTGTGTTTAATTGTCATTATACTTAATGGTTGGGAAATGAAATATGATCAAAATATAGTTTTTCTTTCACAATGAAACTGAAATTGAAATAAATTAATTCCAGTTAAATTTTGATATAAATTCCTCTTTATGTTGTGATATGATATTTGATTCCAGCTCAAGAATAGTGGGTCAGCTTTGATCAGTTGGTGGTGATATTTTATGAGAAAGGCTCTGATTGATATTAGTTGGTGTAAATGCTATGAACTTGTACTGCATACTGAAAAATTTCTTCAAACTTATCTTGCCAGGTTGTCCAAAGATTCCAGGAGTTGTTTTCTGAGGCAAAATATGAGGAAGCTGCAGAACTTGCTGCTGAATCTCCACAGGGACTCCTCCGTACTCCCGAGACTGTTGCCAAATTCCAGGTATATAAGTATTTAGTTTTGGTAGTATCATTAGTGCTGATAATATCAGTACTTCCAACTGAATCCTAATTTAATGATACATATGGCAGGGTGGTGGTTTTTTTTTTTTTTTTTTTTTTGGTGAAATCTGAAAAATACTTATGATTTCTTCATTAGAAAATCTTGGGAAATTCAAGGTCCTTGTAATTTTCTTATTTGTTCTTTCTTCACAGAGCATTCCTGTGCAAGCTGGACAACCTCCACCATTATTGCAGTATTTTGGAACCTTGTTGACCAAAGGAAAACTCAATGCTTTTGAGTCACTGGAATTGTCACGCCTTGTTGTAAATCAGAACAAAAAGAATCTGTTGGAGAATTGGTTGGCTGAGGACAAGCTTGAATGCACTGAGGACCTTGGGGATCTTGTGAAGGTTATATTTAGAAGTTTTATTTGATAGTCTCCAATGCTTTGGTTCTAATATTATTTGACAAAAGCTTGCTTTTTAAAATTACATATTTTTATTCTTGTTTTTAAAATCACCACTAACAAGGTAAAGTTTCCTGTGCATGGTCCATAGGCTGTAGGTTATGCTTTCTGGATTTTCCTTCAATAAACTTTTTACTGTTGAAAAAAATGAAATTCTAGCCATGTGATGAGATGGTTTTGGTTGATGCCAAAAGACGACAATGAGATAACTTTTAATGATGTAAAACTTTCAGTGATGTTAATGACTGGGCTTGCTTGACGGGGTTGGGTTCAGTCTTAGGTGAGTATTTCTTTGATTCATGGGGAAGAGATTGGGTTCAAACCTTTTTTAGATGTTTTGTGAACAATGCTCACTGAGTCATAGCTGTTTTGCTGTTAGATTGTGCCTAGTTCTTTTGTTTTCCTGATATAATGTCTAATTGTAGACCTTGGATAATGATCTGGCACTCAAAATATATGTCAAAGCTAGAGCAACTCCGAAAGTGGTAGCAGCATTTGCAGAGAGGAAGGAGTTTGACAAGATTCTGATATACTCGAAACAGGTGACAAGCATAAATATTGCTTCTATTACTCGAAGCTTTTAATGAATAAACTCTTCCAATTTCTATGATGCAATGACTGCTGATTGTAGACACTCACCAGTCCGATTATAATTTCTTTTTTGATGCAGGTTGGATATACACCGGATTATTTATTCCTTCTGAAAACCATTTTGAGGTCTGATCCCCAGGTAGGTAGCATTTTAGTCATTTTCTCAGCAAGTGTGCCGTTTCAAATAAGTTGTGCAACAGTAAATATTCATTTTCTTTGATATGGTTATTGACTTTCTTTAGTGGTTAACTTTATATATTACACAGTTTTGAGTTTCTGATCTCGGCAATCTAGTTTTCAAATATTTATTCTTCTGAAGTTTAATTAGAAATGAGCCATTTTCTGATGGAGTATATTTTTCAACTTTCTTCATGGCAGGCTGCTGTTAATTTTGCTTTAATGATTTCTCAAATGGAGGGAGGTTGCCCAGTTGACTATAACACAATGGCTGATCTATTTCTTCAGGTTCAATTAACACCTTTTCATTTATTATCTTCTAATAGGTGTATGTACAACTATCATAATTGTGAAGAGAAAAAATATTCAGGCTGTAAAATTTACTTTCTTTTTTAATGTTCAAGCACCTTTTGGATTCATGATAAGGGACTTATTTTAAGTTCATTGTGTTGCCAATAGCTTAAGATTAAACTTCAAAAACGTCTTTTTGTTCCATCCAGAGGAATTTGATCCGTGAGGCAACAGCCTTTTTATTAGATGTCCTGAAACCAAACTTACCTGAGCATGGTGACCTTCAGACAAAGGTTAATATTTATCTTTCTTCTGTGAACTTATATTTCTTAATTATTTTGTTGATATATTTACTCACATCAATTTTATATCTATTTGCTTTAGGTTTTGGAAATCAATCTCGTGACATTTCCAAATGTTGCGGATGCTATATTAGCTAATGGCATGTTTAGTCACTATGATCGTCCACGTATTGCTCAACTTTGTGAAAAGGCTGGTCTGTATATACGAGCTCTTCAGGTAAATGATCTCCTTATCTCATGATTGTGATATCTTGTGCAGAAATTTTATTGTTCTGTGGACTAGTAATCCATTTTCCTTGCAGCATTACACTGAATTGCCTGATATTAAACGTGTCATCGTGAATACACATGCCATTGAGCCCCAGGTTTGTCTGTCAAATACAAGTTGTTCCAAGTTGTTGATTGTATTTTTATACTAAATTTGTGATGTGCTTTTCAGTCTCTTGTTGAGTTCTTTGGAACCCTTTCTAAAGAATGGACCCTTGAGTGTATGAAAGATCTTTTATTGGTCAATCTCAGGGGAAATCTTCAGATAATTGTGCAGGTAAACAATCATCTTTTATATGAAATTGTTCATAATATTAGAATCTTTCAATTGAGGCTTATTGAAAATCTGTATGCAGACTGCAAAAGAATACTGTGAGCAGTTGGGTGTTGATGCATGCGTAAAACTCTTTGAACAGTTCAAGTCCTATGAAGGACTTTACTTCTTCTTGGGTTCATATTTGAGCTCTAGGTACCTTCTTCGTTTTTCAGTAACAAAAGTTGATTCTAGTCAATTATTTTTGCTGCGAGCAAAACTTTTATTTTTCTTTTAAACTTGGCACAGTGAAGAAACTGAAATTCACTTCAAGTATGTTGAAGCTGCTGCCAAGACTGGGCAAATTAAGGAGGTTGAACGTGTGACTCGTGAATCTAACTTCTATGACCCTGAGAAGACAAAGAACTTTCTAATGGAAGCCAAGCTTCCTGATGCACGCCCTCTGATTAATGTCTGTGATCGTTTCGGTTTTGTTCCAGATCTTACCCATTACCTGTATGTAAATAACATGCTTCGCTATATAGAAGGTTATGTTCAGAAGGTAAATCTTTGAAGAGGTTTTAATTTTTGTTTGTAATTTAATTGCTCAATAAAGATGGCTCTCTTCCAAAGCCAAGTTAACATTAATTGAAATGTAGCGTTATGATTTCATCTCTGAGTTTCTGTTTGCTTGATAGGTCAATCCAGGAAATGCTCCTTTAGTCGTACGGCAGTTGATAGATGATGAATGCCCTGAAGATTTCATCAAAGGTCTTATTCTTTCAGTTCGATCTCTCCTTCCAGTTGAGCCCCTTGTGGAGGAATGTGAAAAGAGGTGAATTTTTCCTTTATGATGCCCTGTTGCTCCATGATCATTCTTTTTTTTTTTTTTAAATTTTTTATTTATAGTTTACACTTGCTTTGAATTTGCAGGAATCGTCTCCTGTTGATCACACAGTTCTTGGAACATCTTGTGAGTGAAGGAAGCCAAGATGTGCATGTCCACAATGCTCTGGGTAAAATTATTATAGACAGCAACAATGATCCCGAGCATTTTCTCATGACCAATCCACATTATGATCCTCGTGTTGTGGGTAAATTTTGTGAGAAAAGGGATCCAACACTTGCAGTTGTTGCATATCACAGAGGACAATGTGATGATGAACTTATTAATGTCACAAATAAAAATTCCTTGTTCAAACTGCAGGCCAGGTGTGTTTCTTATTCATTGTAAGATACCATTTTACATTGTGATACATTGGTTTGGTGCATTGATGTGATATACCTAATGTTTGTACTTACCAGATATGTGGTGGAAAGGATGGATGAAGATCTCTGGGAGAAAGTTCTTACCCCTGATAATGAATATAGGAGGCAGCTTATTGATCAGGTTGTTTCTAATGCTTTGCCAGAAAGCAAGAGTCCCGAGCAAGTTTCTGCAGCTGTTAAAGCTTTTATGACTGCTGACCTTCCACATGAATTAATTGAGCTTCTTGAAAAGATAGTGTTGCAAAATTCTGCTTTTAGTGGGAACTTCAATCTGCAAAATCTGCTGATACTTACAGCCATTAAGGCTGACCCATCAAGAGTCATGGATTACATTAATAGGTTAGACAATTTTGATGGACCTGCAGTTGGACAGGTGGCTGTGGAAGCTCAATTGTATGAAGAAGCATTTTCAATTTTCAAGAAATTCAATTTGAATGTCCAGGCTGTGAATATACTGTTGGATAACATCCGAAGCATAGATAGGGCTGTGGAGTATGCATTTCGCGTAGAAGAAGATGTAGTCTGGAGCCAGGTGGCCAAAGCTCAACTTCGGGAGGGTCTTGTGAGTGATGCAATTGAGTCATTTATTCGTGCAGATGATGCTACACAGTTTTTAGATGTCATAAAGGCTGCTGAGGATGGAAATGTATACCATGATTTGGTCAGATACCTTTTAATGGTTAGACAGAAATCAAAGGAGCCCAAGGTGGACAGCGAACTTATTTATGCATATGCTAAAATTGACCGGCTTGAAGAAATCGAGGAGTTTATTCTTATGCCAAATGTTGCTAATCTCCCAAATGTTGGGGATCGCTTATATGATGAAGCCCTATATGAGGCGGCGAAGATCATTTTTTCATTCACTTCTAACTGGGCTAAGCTGGCTGTTACACTCGTAAAGCTAAAACAGTTTCAAGGTGCTGTTGACGCAGCTCGGAAAGCCAACAGCTCAAAAACATGGAAGGAGGTTTGCTTTGCTTGTGTTGATGCTGAGGAATTTCGCTTGGCTCAGATATGTGGTCTCAACATTATCATACAGGTGTGTAATATTTGATTCTTTATTTGTTTCCTGCGTTCTTTCTTGTGAAAGTTATATAATACCTTATATACAAAGATCAAATCCTTTGGTATAGGTTTATAAGTGCAGAGAAGTTGAATTATGTGGAGCAAATTTCCAGGAACTTCATGTTGAATGCTTGTATGCATTGCAGATGTCTAGTTATCCCTTCTGTTATGGCATATAATATTGGTTCTAAGTAGTTGTTCAAATACTAAATCCTGTATGTTTACAATTCTAGGTGGATGATTTAGAGCAAGTCAGTGAGTATTATCAGAACAGACGATATTTTAATGAGCTCATATCTCTCATGGAGAGTGGATTAGGTTTGGAACATGCACATATGGGCATCTTTACTGAGTTGGGAGTTCTATATGCGAGATACCGTGCTGAGAAGCTTATGGAGCACATTAAACTGTTTTCAACTCGTCTAAATATTCCCAAGCTTATACGAGCTTGTGATGAACAGCAGCATTGGAAGGAACTAACTTACTTATATATTCAATATGATGAGTTTGACAATGCTGCAACCACTATAATGAACCACTCCCCACAAGCTTGGGAGCACATGCAATTCAAAGATGTTATTGTTAAAGTTGCAAGTGTTGAGATTTACTATAAGGCTGTGTACTTCTATTTACAAGAGCATCCAGATCTAATCAATGACCTTCTAAATGTTCTTGCCCTCCGTATTGACCATACCCATGTTGTAGACATAATGCGAAAAGTAAGCATGTTGCACATATGCCTTTGATGTTGCTTTGTTGTTGTTACTTTTCATGTTGAAAAGAGTGCCGTCTAATATCTTGTTTATTATTGCAATCCTTTGACACTCAGGCTGGTCATCTCTGTCTTGTTAAGCCATACATGGTTGCAGTTCAGAGCAATAATGTATCTGCTGTGAATGAAGCTCTGAATGAGATTTATGTAGAGGAGGAAGAATACGAAAGGCTTCGTGAATCTATTGATATGCATGATAATTTTGATCTGATAGGTCTAGCACAGAAGGTAAGAGATGAAAAATTGTTTGGTTTCTTAATTTTCTTAGAAGTGGAAATTTTATTTACCAGTGCTGATGATGCATATGTGCAGATTGAGAAACATGAGCTTCTTGAGATGAGACGTGTTGCTGCTGAGATATATAAGAAGGCTGGGAGGTGGAAGCAGTCTATTGCCTTGTCAAAGAAAGACAATCTTTACAAAGATGCCATGCAAACATGTTCACAGTCTGGTGATCGGGAACTTTCAGAGGAGTTGCTCATTTACTTTATTGAGCAGGTTGGTGACTTTAACGATTGGGTCTTTAAAACATTCTCACTTACATAATAAATTGAACTATACCTTTTCTATGTAACTAAGATTTTTGATATATGGCTAAGTTGCCAAAATTTTTTCCCCCTCTAGGATTTTTATTGTTGTTGGAACAGTTTAAATTTTTACTGTAACACAATTTAAATCATTCATCTCTATAGATGTTCATGTTCACTTGTGTTTCATGTGACTTGCAACATTTCTGCCAAAAACTTTTATTCTCTAGTATAGTTGCAGAGATATTTTGTATTATGTTTATTCACCAGTTATGTACTTGCATTTCTGGAAAAATCATTCATTCTCTTGTCCTGTTGTATTTTCAGGGAAAGAAAGAGTGTTTTGCATCGTGCCTATTTGTCTGTTATGATTTAGTCTCGCCTGATGTTGCTCTTGAGTTCGCATGGAGGCACAAAATGATTGATTTTTCCTTCCCATATCTGTTGCAGGTGATTTGTTGAGCTTATGCCTATTTTTTAGCTTAACTATCACCTTGGATATTTTTCTCATTTTCTCAACCTAATTTTTTCTCTTTCTTGCAATTTAAGTTTATTCGAGAGTACACAAGCAAAGTAGATGAACTTGTTAAACATAAACTTAATGCTCTTGATGAGGTGAAAACTAAAGGGAAGGAGGAGAAAGACATTGTTGCTCAGCAGGTAAAACTACTTAGACAATTCTGCGGCGTATTTTGTTTTACCTAATTTCTCTCATGTGATAAGACGTTTTCCTGAATGCTTGATTGCTAATTCATTGTTACACAAACTACAAGAACACAGTTTTTGCTATATGGTCATTTTCGTTGCTTGAAAACAGTTTAATTTATCACTTCTCTGGGCTGTCTGCAGAATATGCACGCCCAATTGCTGCCGCTTGCTTTGCCTGCACCACCAATGCCTGGAATGGGTGGTCCAGGGATGGGTGTAAGTTTTGTTCCGCCGCAACCACCACCAGCAATGGATGGGATCGGGATGCCTCCTATGCCTCCATATGGCATGCCACTAATGAGATCTTTTTGATCCCCCAGTTCTAACTTTTATGTAGGGTGAGTCATAACTAAGGTTAAGTTTTCTGGAGTTTCCTGTTTGTGTTTCAAAGTGATCTCAATCCTCACAATTTTTATGGGAACTGAAGGGATTGCAAGAACAGCTGAAACCAAACCTTTTCTGCAAATACTTGAGGGCTTTGAGGTCAAGTGCCAAAGTAGAAGCTGTGCTGCCGAGCCGGTGTTATTGGATTGGACAGATGTTTTTGTTACTTGGGTTAGTTTACAGAATTGCGTAGAGGTAGTTAAACAAATTTGCCACGTGTATAGCATATTTTAGATTTTAATTTCTCGGTTAACTGTCTTTGGTAAAATATGCAGGACATATTTTACTACCTAACTAGCTAGCCATTTGGGTTTTAAGAATCCTTGTAAAATCATCATATATTTTACATGATGTATAACAGCCTATCTGAAAATGGTAAAATATTACGTGGAATTTAAAGATGAGATTTATTTTTACCCCCTATTATTTATAATAAGAATACTTTCTAGGACTTTTCCATGATGATACTGTCAAATTGAGCATAAGTATTTACCAACCCTCCTGGGGTGTACAAGTTCAATGGGTCAAGTAAGTTACAAATGTAGTAGATGACTATTTTGTAGGATTCGGAGACAAGACCTCTGGATAACCTATCTGATGGCCAAAGTCTTGCCATTTGACCACAAGCGGACAAGCCTAGTGGTTTACTGGTTTACTGCTTTCTGTTTTTTTATTTCTTTCTTCTATTTTCTCGCAACAGAGGTGTGTTGAGAGGTCAGAGGTGGGTGTTCTGATGGTTTTGTAGTCAGGTGGGACGAGGAGGTTGGAGAGAGAGAGTTTGATCTTACAACACCTAACAATTTGACTTGAGTACGGCTTCTGATATTCTCAACAGTTACTAATTCAACATCTATAAGACCATCACCACTTAGAAACAAAAATAAACAAAAACATTTTTTTTAGTTAGTTTTTGGAATTTTTTCATTTTGTTTTGCAGAAGTTTTGCAATTCGTAATATCGGAAAGCAAATGCAAAACCAAGATTCTAGATATCTCCTTTATCAGAGTATGATACCATGCAGAAGCTGTGCAGAGTGCTTCAAATTTGATAATAAAAAATAAAGTTGAACATTGGTGTCCTTGTATTGCACGGGAAATATTTTAAGAAATTGGGCAGTAAGGCAAGCAGATAACACGTACAACAATGTCAAAGAAAAAGATTGAGAGAGGTGTTAGTCTTCCATTTGCATTTCTGTAAACAATATAGTTTGTCACTTCTCTCCTCCTGCAAGTGATGAGACTGCATTGGAAGAGCGCGATATAATAATAAAAAAATTGGTTTACAGGGATTTGTTACTGAACCTTTGCTTGAGGTAGAAGTAGAACAAATTAAGATGTAACAGATGCTATTCAAAAAGTTGCTGCCACCTATGATGCCAAGATCGTCGAAGGCGTTCTCAGTCACCCGCTGAAGCAGTTTCTGATTGATGGTATGGGAACAAGTTTGCTGATGATGCAGAATTTGAGGAAAACGAAGTCTACGCTGTTGATATGTATATACTATCAGTCTTATCACAGGCCATGGTAAAGTAAGGTTGGACTGCAACCTGATGTGCCAAAGCCAAACTATACGATTGAGTGCAGCCGAAGCTATTGAATGAGCGACAAACAACTATATATTAGCAAGCTTTGGACAGAAATTATAACTTGAAGATGAAAGCTTCAAGGTTCATCTGCAGTGAAATTAATCAGAGCAATCATGCCATTTACGGCAAGGTCCATGCACTGTCTGTGGTTATTATCATCGAAACTGTCTTTTTGTCAGTTACACCAGTGCTTTCTCGTGATCTCCATTTGGTATCAGCTGTTTAGAGCAGCGAAAGATCAATGTTGCTTCTGAGGAATGACTGTCTTTAGCTTTGTTACTTAAATATACCATGTTACCATTGTTTCGGCTAGCTGCAAAACGAGTGTAGGCATCTGGGTGTGCAATATAGGTTGTAATGTTGGTACATTCTGTTGATGCAATTTCTCGCACCAACGAGAAGTTCATAGGATCCGTGGTGGAATATACACATGTAATAACTCTCTCTAGTTAGTATATTTTGGGAAATATAATATAAAATCACTAAATATATTATAGAAAACATGTACGTATATAAGTATAAGATAGTGGGCCCAAAATAAGTTTACTTCCATATACAAATTATCTACGTTAAGTAAAAGAAGTCATATATATAAACTCAAAATACAGTTAGATAATAGTGTCATTCTTCTCCTCTTCTTGACGTTCCCTCCAACTGCTTTTCACCTACTACCTGCAAAAACAGTGAAATCAACAGAGTGAGCACTAATTGCTCAATAAGTAAATCCATTATACTAATCTTCTTTCTCTGTTACTCGTATTCTGAATTTTCTTTCTTTACATCAAACTTCTCTATTCTTCTCAACTCTCTCTAACATTCTTGTTTCTCACTTATTGATATATAAACACATTTAGTGAAACTAAATGTAAATAGTAAGAATGGAATAAGGCATATGCACAAATGCATAAGAGATGCATTTTCTTTTCTGTTTTCTATTTTCTTATTCTGTTTTTCTTCTTTCTTTCTTTATGATCTTTCTTTTCTTTCTTGTTTCTTTTCTTTTCTATTCTTTCTTGCTTTCTATTCTTTCTTTTCTTTCTTGCTTTTCTATTCTTTCTTGCTTTCTATTCTTTCTTTTCTTTTCTTTTCTATTATTTCTTGCTTTCTATTCTTTCTTTCTTTCTTGTACGTCGATCGAACTCGATTGAAGTATGGATTTGAAACCCTGGCCGTGTGAGTGAGTACAATCCTCATCTACATGCACTTCTAACAGACTGTACAAATTCTTCTTTTTTATTCTTAGGCCGCTTACTGAAAGCGGCGTGCATTTAGGTATGCTCTGCTGAGTACAGTCTTCATCCACATGCATTTCTTACGGACTGTACAAATTCTTCTTTCTCATTCTTAGGCCGCTCACTAAAGGCGACGTGCATGTGAGAATATTCTTCTTCTCTGTCACTCACGGGTTTCCCATCGTAACAACCTTCTTTTCTCTTATCTTTCTTTTAGAAATTAAGATTCAGGTTCTTTTCTTTTCTTTCTTTCTTTGTTCTTTAGCGTTCTTATATGCATGTATGCATATTTATAGATTCTCATTTTACTCTTGCACTTTTTATGAAATTCCATCTATGTCCCTTAATCAATTACAATAATGCCCTCATCTCCATTGTATTCTCTATGAAATTATATTACTGTTCACTCCATACATTTTCAACTAATTATGGGTGGAATGACCATTTTGCCCTTAAGCAAAATTTCCAGAATTTTCTCAAAAATTCCAGCTCTTTCTTTGCCCCGGCGAAGACTATATTTTCTGCCATGAATTTAGCCAGAGAGTTCATTGCCGCGGTGACAAAACTCCTTTGCCACGGTGAAGTATGCAATTACCAATTTTTCAAGCTTTTACCTTGAAATAAGTAAAACTAAGAGCATTAGGACATAAATAGAGTTACGTATCTCGATGTGGATGTTACAACACTTAAGTTTGTATTAAACCCATGATTCTAATACTAAAAATAAAAGGACAACAATAACACAATAAAGAGAGTTTTAAAATGGTTCGAATATTTGGTGCAAATCATATGTTTATTGTTTTTTGCATTGTTTTCTTTGCTTTCTCTGTATACAAGTGTAGTTTACACAAGTTATGAGTGAGCTTTCCTAAATTAAGGTAAAAAGTAAGCTTATATAGTGTTACAGTTGTAAATTTACACATGAAGTAATCCTCGTACAGAGTGACTCGTGACCTGACTGACAACACAATCTTGAAACTTACCAATGAAGTAATCTTTAGTGGGGAATCCATACCACAAATCTCTCAAGGCTATAATGTCATCAAGACCGCGACTATACTATCATACAGACTATGTGTTACTATATGAGATGGTTTCTTCATTTGTAAGTCTACTAAAGATTACTTCATTGATAAGTTTGTCTACAGTGAAAGCTTCTATAAACATATTCTACTATGTGATAATAATTGCAATTATTAATTATTATCATTATCATTATCCTACTATTATTGTAAAATTTGATTCCTGTACCAGGAGCCAAACACTCGTTTATTTTAAACGTGGAAATATCTTGTTCTAATCTAGGGAAACGGTTATTCCACCATCCAAACATTCCCTTTAAAGGAAAGCAGTAGTATTAGTGCGTCTGTTTTATGGGCGTAACCTTGACGCCTCTTTGAATTCTCTCTTAAAATCTCTCTCGATACTCTCTGTATAAAAACCCTACTTGCCCTCAAACATTCTAGCCTCCAAACACACTCAGCCGAGTTGCATCACCGAGTTCTCACACTCAAACTCACGCACACTCTAACTCAGAAATTAAATCAATGGCCAGCACCGAGGGCGATCGCAGAGAAGAGGAGGAGGCACCACACAACGAAGATGAAGACACCGGAGCTCAGGTTGCCCCCATCGTCAAACTCGAGGAGGTCGCTGTTACTACCGGTGAAGAGGACGAAGATGCTATCCTGGATCTGTAAGTGCCCTAGATCTGTTTCTTTTTTCTCATTCTAGGGTTTCGGTTTTTGATTTTTATTTGGTTGATTTTTTCTTCCTTTTGTTTAAAAGGAAATCGAAACTATACCGTTTCGATAAGGACGGTAATCAGTGGAAAGAAAGAGGAGCTGGTACTGTTAAGCTTTTGAAACATAAACAGAGCGGCAAGGTTCGTCTCGTCATGAGACAATCCAAGACACTCAAGATCTGCGCCAATCATCTCGGTTCGTTCTTCTTTTGTTTATTTTTTGACATCTCATCTAATAATACTAATGCTATTTATTTATCTATCTGAATCTGTGTTCTGTCGCACTGTCAGTTTTACCGACCATGTCCGTGCAAGAGCATGCTGGTAACGACAAGTCGTGTGTGTGGCACGCCGCTGACTTCGCTGATGGTGAATTGAAGAATGAGCTTTTCTGTATCAGATTCGGATCCGTTGAGAGTGAGTATCGCGAACTTTTTTCTATTATTGATTTACATTGCTTGTCTAATTGAAGTACGGTGTTTTGAAGTTGTTTAAGTTGTATTGGTCAATTAGTTCTTTTATTAATTTGATTTTGTGACCAATAATTTGAATGTAGAGCGGCTGCTTGAATCGTGTTTAGTGAATGCTGTGTTTCATTTGAACTATTTTGATTACAGTAGTGGGAATTGAAGAATTGAAGTTTCAATTATATAGGCCATCTTGTGATTGTCAGGCTTCCTCGGGAAAACCTGAAAGATAGTATTATTACTATAGGATGATGTCTATTTTAGTATTCTTAGTGGCTAAGTTTTCAAATGTAAAAATTTCCGTTATTTTATTGCTATAAAAACTTACTTTTTTACTTTTGTAGATTTTAGTTACTCTGGCCACGGACAAATCATAGGCTTTGATGATAACATCCTAAATTATCTTCAGCTCTTTGTTTACATGTTTAGGGTACTGATTTATTGGTTAAAAACTAAGAAGAGCAAATGGTATTATGTTCTATGTTGTAATGATACCTAAATATCAGTTCTAAAGGTTTCTTGAGAGCTACTATTTAAGGAATTTGAGTTGTGCTAGGGCAATGATCTTAAAACTGTATTTGTTACATAGATGTTGATGATGTACTGTGGGATAGTTTAAGTACCTTCTCTGTCATATTTTACAAATTTACTTTATCATTTCAAATGGTGGACTTTAGTTAGAAACTGAAATTGGTTGGATGGTGATTTGCCTTAATCATAGAATAAGTGGCAGTATGTCTATATCTTGAATCAATTGTATTGAGGTTTTCTACTTCTTTCCTTAAATTGGGTATTTTATATTTTCAAAAGAAAAAATTGGGTATTTTATATTTATCTCAATCTTGAACTGCGATAAGATTTTCTTCGATGATAGGTTCTTATTTGAACTATTGTTGGTTATTAGTTCTAATCTTATTGCATGCATAGTTTCTTTCTTTGTATAAATCTATTTATGAAATGATTATTGACTTGCCATGTTATACATGATTGTTAAGGGGAGCAACTGGCAGGAATTATTTCCTAATGTGCTTGTATTAAATGATTATTTTTGCATGGAATACTTTTATCAGTTTACTGCAAGTGCAGGAATGTTTTCAATGTTTGTCATGCATCCTGCATGAAAACTTTACTAGGGATTTATGGGTTCCATAGGTCTCCCTGTCTAAATACCATCCTGGAGCAAATGACATAGGTTCACTTTCTATTGCTAGCGAGAGAGAGAGGGTGATTTAAACTCAATTCTGTCTCGAGGGGGTTTAATAGTGCATAGTGGTAGTTTTTTTTTGCACCCAGAATGCATTTTGACTGACTTCTGGACTTGTGTAACAGAATGGTTCTTATAGTTAGATACAGTAGCTTTTCTGGCTCTAAGATGCATTGTTACTTGTGGACTGATAACCGATGCTTCTTTTTGTTTCCATAAAGATTAACATACTGCTTAAAAATTTGTATATATACACAGAAATCTATTCTAATTTTGTGAAAAAAAAAAAAAAAAATCTGTACTACTTACTTCTTTTTTCCTTTCCATTAATTGTCTGTTTCATGAGATGTTTTCCTATGTTTGTTTTTCAGATTGCAAAGCCTTCATGGAAATGTTTACAGAAGTTGCTGAATCCCAAAAATCTAAAGAGGAAAATAAAGAAGCAACTTCAACTGCTGGTCTTCTTGAGAAGGTAGTTCCAGAAATTCTACTACTTTCACTCCACACATTTTCAACTAATTATGGGTGGAATGACCATTTTGCCTTTGAGCAAGTTTTCTCAGAATTTTCTCAAAAATTCACCGCTCTTTCTTGGCCGGCGGAAGAGTATTTTTGCCATGAATTTAGGCAGAGAGTGCATTGCCGCGGCGACAAAACTCCTTTGCTGCGGCAAGTATGCAATTACCAATTTTTCAAGCTTTCACCTTGAAATAAGTAAACTAAGGGCATTAGGACATAAATAGAGTTACGTACCTCGATGGGGATGTTACAACAAAAGTTGTATTAAACCCATGATTCTGATACTGAACAATAAACGAATAAAAGCACAACAATAACAACATAAAAAATTTTAGTAGTTCGAATATTTGGTGCAAATCATATGTTTATTGTTTTTTGCATTGTTTTCTTTGCTTTCTCTGTATACAAGTGTGCTTACACAAGTTATGAGTGAGCTTCAAATTAGGTAAAAAGTAAGCTTATATAGTGTTAAGTTGTAAATTTTACATGAAGTAATCCTCATATAGAGTGATTTGTGACCTGACTGGCAAACACGTCTTGAAACTTACCAATGAAGTAATCTTAGTGGGAATCATACCACAATCCCCAAGGCTATCTGTCATCAGACCGGGCTATACTGATCATCAGACATGTGTTACTATAAGATGGTTCTTCATTTGTAAGTCTACTAAAAATTATCATGTAAGTTTGTCCACAGTAAAGCTTCTATAAACATATTCTACTATGTGAAAATTGCATTATTAATTATTATCATTTATCTTATCCTAATATATATAAAATTGTTCCTGTACAGTAAAGGAGCCAAACACTCGTTTATTTTAAACGTGGAAAATCTTGTTATCTAGGGAAACGGTTATTCCACCATCCAAACATTCCCTTAAAGGAAAGCAGTAGTATAGTGCATCTGTTTTTGCGGGCGAACTCAACAGAGGTGTGTTGAGAGGTCAGAGGTGGGTGTTCTGATGGTTTTGTAGTCAGGTGGGACGAGGAGGTTGGAGAGAGAGAGTTTGATCTTACAACACCTAACAATTTGACTTGAGTACGGCTTCTGATATTCTCAACAGTTACTAATTCAACATCTATAAGACCATCACCACTTAGAAACAAAAATAAACAAAAACATTTTTTTTAGTTAGTTTTTGGAATTTTTTCATTTTGTTTTGCAGAAGTTTTGCAATTCGTAATATCGGAAAGCAAATGCAAAACCAAGATTCTAGATATCTCCTTTATCAGAGTATGATACCATGCAGAAGCTGTGCAGAGTGCTTCAAATTTGATAATAAAAAATAAAGTTGAACATTGGTGTCCTTGTATTGCACGGGAAATATTTTAAGAAATTGGGCAGTAAGGCAAGCAGATAACACGTACAACAATGTCAAAGAAAAAGATTGAGAGAGGTGTTAGTCTTCCATTTGCATTTCTGTAAACAATATAGTTTGTCACTTCTCTCCTCCTGCAAGTGATGAGACTGCATTGGAAGAGCGCGATATAATAATAAAAAAATTGGTTTACAGGGATTTGTTACTGAACCTTTGCTTGAGGTAGAAGTAGAACAAATTAAGATGTAACAGATGCTATTCAAAAAGTTGCTGCCACCTATGATGCCAAGATCGTCGAAGGCGTTCTCAGTCACCCGCTGAAGCAGTTTCTGATTGATGGTATGGGAACAAGTTTGCTGATGATGCAGAATTTGAGGAAAACGAAGTCTACGCTGTTGATATGTATATACTATCAGTCTTATCACAGGCCATGGTAAAGTAAGGTTGGACTGCAACCTGATGTGCCAAAGCCAAACTATACGATTGAGTGCAGCCGAAGCTATTGAATGAGCGACAAACAACTATATATTAGCAAGCTTTGGACAGAAATTATAACTTGAAGATGAAAGCTTCAAGGTTCATCTGCAGTGAAATTAATCAGAGCAATCATGCCATTTAAGGCAAGGTCCATGCACTGTCTGTGGTTATTATCATCGAAACTGTCTTTTTGTCAGTTACACCAGTGCTTTCTCGTGATCTGCATTTGGTATCAGCTGTTTAGAGCAGCAAAAGTTCGATGTTGCTTCTCAGGAATGACAGTCTTTAGCTTTGTTACTTACATGTACCATGTTACCATTGTTCCGGCTAGCTGCAAAACGAGTGTAGGCATCTGGGTGTGCAATATAGGCTGTAATGTTGGTACATTCTGGTGATGCAATTTCTCGCACCAACGAGAAGTATGTAGGATTTGTGGTGGAATCTACACATGTAATAACTCTCTCTGGTTAGTATACTTTGAAAAATATAATATAAAATCACTAAATATGCTATAGAAAACATGTATTTATATAAGTATAAGATAGTGGGTCCAAAACTAACTTTACTTCCATATACAAATTCTCTATGTTAAGTAAAATAAGTCATATATATAAACTCAAAATACAGTTAGACAGTAGTGTCATTCTTCTCCGCTTCTTGACATTCCCTCCAACCGCTTTTCACCTACTACCTGCAAAAACAGTAAAATCAACAGAGTGAGAACTAATTGCTCAGTAAATAAATCCATTATACTAATCTTCTTTCTCTGTTATTCGTATTCTGAATTTTCTTTCTTTACATCAAACTTCTCTATTCTTCTCAGCTCTCTCTAACATTCTTGTTTCTCACTTATTGATATATAAACACATTTAGTGAAACTAAATGTGAATAGTAAGAATGGAATAATGCATATGCACAAATGCATAAGAGATACATTTTCTTTTCTGTTTTCTGTTTTTCTTCTTTCTTTCTTTCTGTTCTTTCTTTTCTTTCTCATTTCCTTCTTTCTTTCTTTATGTTCTTTCTTCTTTCTTCTTTCTTCTTTCTTTTCTATTCTTTCTTTTCTTTTCTATTCTTTCTTGCTTTCTATTCTTTCTTTTCTTTTCTATTCTTTCTTGCTTTTTATTCTTTCTTTCTTGTACGTCGATCAAACTCGGTTGAGGCATGGATTCTGAATCCTGTGCATGTGAGTGAGTACAGTCTTCATCTACATGTACTTCTAACGGACTGTACAAATTCTTCTTTCTTATTCTTAGGCCGTTTACTGAAGGCGGTGTGCATGTAGGTATGCTCTGTTGGGTACAGTCTTCATTCACATGCACTTCTTACGGACTGTACAAATTCTTCTTTCTCATTCTTAGGCCGCTCACTGAAGGCAGCGTGCATGTGAGAATATTCTTCTTCTCTGTCACTCACGGGTTCCCCATCACTACAACCTTCTTTTCTTTTATCTTTCTTTTAGAAATTAAGATTCAGGTTCTTTTCTTTTCTTTCTTTCTTTGTTCTTTAGTGTTCTTATATGCATGTATGCATATTTATAGATTCCCATTTTACCCTTGCACTTTTTATGAAATTCCATCTATGTCCCTTAATCAATTATAATAATGTCCTCATCTCCATTGTATTCTCCATGAAATTCTACTACTTTTCACTCCACACATTTTCAACTAATTATGGGTGGAATGACCATTTTGCCTTTGAGCAAGTTTTCTAGAATTTTCTCAAAAATTCCAGCTCTTTCTTTGGCCCGGCGAAGACTGTATTTTTTGCCATGAATTTAGGCAGAGAGTGCATTGCCGCGGCGACAAAACTCCTTTGCTGCGGCAAAGTATGCAATTACCAATTTTTCAAGCTTTCACCTTGAAATAAGTAAAACTAAGGGCATTAGGACATAAATAGAGTTACGTACCTCGATGGGGATGTTACAACACATAAGTTTGTATTAAACCCATGATTCTGATACTGAACAATAAACGAAATAAAAGCACAACAATAACACAATAAAAAGATTTTTAAAGTAGTTCGAATATTTGGTGCAAATCATATGTTTATTGTTTTTTGCATTGTTTTCTTTGCTTTCTCTGTATACAAGTGTAGCTTACACAAGTTATGAGTGAGCATTCCTAAATTAGGGTAAAAAGTAAGCTTATATAGTGTTACAGTTGTAAATTTATACATGAAGTAATCCTCATATAGAGTGATTTGTGACCTGACTGGCAACACAGTCTTGAAACTTACCAATGAAGTAATCTTTAGTGGAGAATCCATACCACGAATCCCCCAAGGCTATAATGTCATCAAGACCGCGACTATACTATCATCCAGACCATGTGTTACTATATAAGATGGTTGCTTCATTTGTAAGTCTACTAAAAATTACTTCATGGGTAAGTTTGTCCACAGTAAAAGCTTCTATAAACATATTCTACTATGTGATAATAATTGCAATTATTAATTATTATCATTTATCATTATCCTAATATTATTATAAAATTTGTTCCTGTACAAGTAAAAGGAGCCAAACACTCGTTTATTTTAAACGTGGAAATATCTTGTTCTAATCTAGGGAAACGGTTATTCCACCATCCAAACATTCCCTTTAAAGGAAAGCAGTAGTACTAGTGCATCTGTTTTGCGGGCGTAACCTTGACGCCTCTTTGAACTCTCTCTTAAAATCTCTCTCGATACTCTCTGTATAAAACCCTACTTTCCCTCAAACATTCTAGCCTCCAAACACACTCAGCCGAGTTGAATCACCGAGTTCTCACACTCAAACTCACGCACGCTCTAACTCAGAAATTAAATCAATGGCCAGCACCGAGGGCGATCGCAGAGAAGAGGAGGAGGCACCACACAACGAAGATGAAGACACCGGAGCTCAGGTTGCCCCCATCGTCAAACTCGAGGAGGTCGCTGTTACTACCGGCGAAGAGGACGAAGATGCTATCCTGGATCTGTAAGTGCCCTAGATCTGTTTCTTTTTTCTCATTCTAGGGTTTCGGTTTTTGATTTTTATTTGGTTGATTTTTTCTTCCTTTTGTTTAAAAGGAAATCGAAACTATACCGTTTCGATAAGGACGGTAATCAGTGGAAAGAAAGAGGAGCTGGTACTGTTAAGCTTTTGAAACATAAACAGAGCGGCAAGGTTCGTCTCGTCATGAGACAATCCAAGACACTCAAGATCTGCGCCAATCATCTCGGTTCGTTCTTCTTTTGTTTATTTTTTGACATCTCATCTAATAATACTAATGCTATTTATTTATCTATCTGAATCTGTGTTCTGTCGCACTGTCAGTTTTACCGACCATGTCCGTGCAAGAGCATGCTGGTAACGACAAGTCGTGTGTGTGGCACGCCGCTGACTTCGCTGATGGTGAATTGAAGAATGAGCTTTTCTGTATCAGATTCGGATCCGTTGAGAGTGAGTATCGTGAACTTTTTTCTATTATTGATTTACATTGCTTGTCTAATTGAAGTACGGTGTTTTGAAGTTGTTTAAGTTGTATTGGTCAATTAGTTCTTTTATTAATTTGATTTTGTGACCAATAATTTGAATGTAGAGCGGCTGCTTGAATCGTGTTTAGTGAATGCTGTGTTTCATTTGAACTATTTTGATTACAGTAGTGGGAATTGAAGAATTGAAGTTTCAATTATATAGGCCATCTTGTGATTGTCAGGCTTCCTCGGGAAAACCTGAAAGATAGTATTATTACTATAGGATGATGTCTATTTTAGTATTCTTAGTGGCTAAGTTTTCAAATGTAAAAATTTCCGTTATTTTATTGCTATAAAAACTTACTTTTTTACTTTTGTAGATTTTAGTTACTCTGGCCACGGACAAATCATAGGCTTTGATGATAACATCCTAAATTATCTTCAGCTCTTTGTTTACATGTTTAGGGTACTGATTTATTGGTCAAAAACTAAGAAGAGCAAATGGTATTATGTTCTATGTTGTAATGATACCTAAATATCAGTTCTAAAGGTTTCTTGAGAGCTACTATTTAAGGAATTTGAGTTGTGCTAAGGCAATGATCTTAAAACTGTATTTGTTACATAGATGTTGATGATGTACTGTGGGATAGTTTAAGTATCTTCTCTGTCATATTTTACAAATTTACTTTATCATTTCAAACGGTGGACTTTAGTTAGAAACTGAAATTGGTTGGATGGTGATTTGCCTTAATCATAGAATAAGTGGCAGTATGTCTATATCTTGAATCAATTGTATTGAGGTTTTCTACTTCTTTCCTTAAATTGGGTATTTTATATTTTCAAAAGAAAAAATTGGGTATTTTATATTTATCTCAATCTTGAACTGCGATAAGATTTTCTTCGATGATAGGTTCTTATTTGAACTATTGTTGGTTATTAGTTCTAATCTTATTGCATGCATAGTTTCTTTCTTTGTATAAATCTATTTATGAAATGATTATTGACTTGCCATGTTATACATGATTGTTAAGGGGAGCAACTGGCAGGAATTATTTCCTACTGTGCTGGTATTAAATGATTATTTTTGAATGGAATACTTTTATCAGTTTAGTGCAAGTGCAGGAATGTTTTCAATGTTTGTCACGCATCCTGCATGAAAACTTTACTAGGGATTTATGGGGTCCATAGGTCTCCCTGTCTAAATGCCATCCTGGAGCAAATGACATAGGTTCACTTCCTATTGCTAGCGAGAGAGAGAGGGTGATTTAAACTCAATTCTGTCTCGAGGGGGTTTAATAGTGCATAGTGGTAGTTTTTTTTGCACCCAGAATGCATTTTGACTGACTTCTGGACTTGTGTAACAGAATGGTTCTTATAGTTAGATACAGTAGCTTTTCTGGCTCTAAGATGCATTGTTACTTGTGGACTGATAACCGATGCTTCTTTTTGTTTCCATAAAGATTAACATACTGCTTAAAAATTTGTATATATATACACACAGAAATCTATTCTAATTTTGTGAAAAAAAAAAAAAAAATCTGTACTACTTACTTCTTTTTTCCTTTCCATTAATTGTCTGTTTCATGAGATGTTTTCCTATGTTTGTTTTTCAGATTGCAAAGCCTTCATGGAAATGTTTACAGAAGTTGCTGAATCCCAAAAATCTAAAGAGGAAAATAAAGAAGCAACTTCAACTGCTGGTCTTCTTGAGAAGTTGAGTGTTGAAGAAAAGAAACCTGAGGACAAAGCTGAGGAAGAGGCCCCTCCTGCTAAGGAGAAGGAATCAAAAAGCGAAGATGCAGAGAAGAAAGCCGAGGAGCCTGCTTCCTCAACTTAGAGGTTTGGGTTTGTTTTTGCATCCATATGCTTGCCAGTATGATGAAGTCGGTTGACTTCATTGTTTTGCCCATATCTTGGCGTATACAGCTGGTGAAAATACTTGGACCAATTTATGGGCTTTAGTGGTTTGGGTCTGTGTCCGGTTTGAGTCTGTCAACAATTGGTCGAGCTCCGGGTCATGTTTGCATCTTGAGGATTGTGTTTTTGTAGTTGGGTATTGTCAGAGAAGTTCAACTAGGGCTTTTTTTTAAATATATTACTGTTTATCATTGTAAGTTCCTGGTCATATATTTTTAAGGGTTTCTGAAAAAAAAAAAAATTTAAGAGTTTTTATTGGGACATAATTTCTGGAATTATGAAGAGTTTGGATTTGTTATTTGTTTATGCCGTGATCAGATATTAATGTCACCGACAATTAGTTTGTTTAATGTTCTCAAAACTTTTTTTTATTGAATTTTACTCGGCCTTAAACTAGCATCCCTTCATGCTGGAACTTTTATATGTGACAAAAGCAATTAATTGGATGGAAGTTGTGGCAGCTACACTTGGTGCGTTTCAAAGACATAGCTTGGAATTTTGGTACTTCTTATGCATGGCCGGCCCAATGTAGGATGTTCAACAGCGACTGCTACTTGTTCATGTTTCTTCCGATAAACGTTTCACTGAAGTTTGCGTTCACGAGATGACCAGACACTTAATTTTCTTAAAATTTTTGCAATCAACATGCAATCATGCATAAACAATGTTGATGATAAAATTATCGACTTGAAGAAATTAGAGTTCTGGTTTATTGGAGCAGGAAACGTGTACTTCGGCAATTTGGTGTTGCCAAGTATCTCTTGATTAGGATTATGCAGTGTTTTAAAACTGGTTGGTTCAATGGAGACTTGGGGCTTTCATTGGGTTGGGTTACCTATTTCCTATTTACAAAAAATCTTAGAAATTAAGATAATGATCAGCGAACAATTGAAAGTCGGGATTTTAGGACTTTTGAAGAGGAAGAGTTGGTGAGTGTAATGGTGGCGATGAAGGTGATTTTCGGTGAGTGAATTAACCGAAAATCGAAAAAAAATTGATGATGGCAACAACTGGTTTTTGTCGGTGATTTGAGAGGCGAACGGAGGTGAGGTGAGATGAGATGGGTTTGTTCAAGAGACTGAGGAGAGTATTTTTGTGATGATAGGGAGGGTTCTCGATGCTAGCGGTGGTGAGATTTGGCCTGGAATGTCGACGTTGGCATTGGTGAGATCTCTATTTCGGTCAGATCTTGAGTAGATTTTTTGGAGAATGGGCTTAAGGAATGATTGAGATTGTATTTGGTGTGTCTTTGCCGTCAACTAGTCAACCGTCGATTCATATTTGAGATGTGTTTACTAAATTTCAAACTTGTAGTGATTTAAGTAATTTTTAGGGGTGTATTTGCTTAATTTTAAACTTTTTTAATATCTGGTTTAACTGGCCAGTCAAACCAGTCAACCTAAGACTTGACAATTTTGCTGGATTTCACCGGGTTGGTTATTAAAACATTGGGATTATGGGCAATTTTTTCATCATTTAGAAATGGAAAGATCCAGATTTATACTGGAAACTTTCGGCCTTTTTCACCAGCTGGTCCAATTTTTTTTGATAAATGGGTATTGTTCTTTGCTTTTCTTTTCATGAGACTACGACTGCGGTGTGGTACCTGCCTGGGGCTTGTATGGTGCATCTGGTGGGGCTAAATGAAATTATCTACTACGTTCGGCATCAAAATAGAATATCATCTTTCGGTCAATGGCATTCAAAGTTCATTATGTATGCACGTGGCAGCATCTAAAGGACCAAAAAGTGATGGGAGAGGTACATATGCGGATCAAATGCCCAATTTAGTTGGTCCATGAAAGCAACTTAAGGATAAGGTCATGTAATGTAAGATCACATTATAAGAGTCTCTCTATTTGTTTGAAATTGAAGATTGATATGACAAGGGCCTTTGGCTTGGCTGAGAGATGCAATCAGCTAATCTCTTTGAATCAATTGGGGGGACAAACCCTAAAAGAGCTTTAAATGTTTGATAAAGAAACATAACCTAACCCTTTTGTTTCTGATTTCTTTTCTTCTCTCTCCAATGTACTAGTAAATCATAATCATTGTACGATTGGGGTTTGGGAGAAACAAACAATTAAGAGGGATTTGGTGGCTAAAGTAGATAAAATAAAACTAGGTTTCTTAAACTTAATCAAAGCATCTTGTAGTTGGGTGGTGATATAATTGAAGTATGCAAGTAACCCAGATGATTTGGGCAGAAGAAACAAAGAAAAGAGGGATTTGGTTGTTATGAAAAGATACTATTATCTTATAAAACTTATTAATAATTCACACCACCTTCTTCTATTCAAATTCAAAAGAGTAAACGACATTTTCCCACCCAAAGTTTGGCGAATCTACCAGTTCCCACCCCTGGTTTCATAAATTGCAGATTTTCACCCTTAAATTAACACTATTACTTTTCTCTCAAAATAACCCCTACATCTCAAATTTATCTCAAATAACTCTTAGAGGATCCCAGCCAAGCCAAGCCAAGCCAAAAATCCGGCCTAATTCTAGCACCATTGGACCTCCCCGACACCACCATTAGCATCCTCTTATCCTTCTCACAAAAACTCATATCTTTTCCACCTGATTACACCTCGGCTAGGTGCTGGAACTTGGATGGAATGGGGCGAAAAAATGCGAAAACCTAAGGAGAGGTGGCGACGATTGACGGGCAATTGCAGTTAGCGATTTTGGGGTTTTGGTGGGGCGAAGCCGCCGATGCTATTGGTGGTCTTGGGGGTGGTTTTCAGTGTCGAGACTTGCCAGAATTTGGATGAAACACTGATTGACACTAAAAGCGACGACTGGCAACTGGGGGGTTCAATCAGGCAGGGACGTTAAGGGTTTTGATGTGGGGGCTGAGGGGATTGTAATGGTGGTGTTAGAAAATGTCGATTGTGCTAGAAACAGGTCGGAATGGCCTGAAATCGTCGGTGGGTTGAATTTGAAAAGTAGAGGGTTATTTTAAAATTTTTATCTTTGAAATGACTATTTTACCTTTTTAACTGTTAGATTAAACAGTTATCTGATAATTTAAGGGTGAAAATTTATAATTTATGAAACTAGAGATGGGAACTTGCAAATTCGCTAAACCTTGAGTGGGAAAATGTCGTTACTCAATTCAAAATGTAGAGCCACATTTTGCCCATAATTTAACATCTCATGCCATTGGAACTACTTTGAGTCTTTGACCATCAACTTCCACCTTCCAATAGAAAGAGAGAGAGAGAGAGAGAGAGAGAGAGAATTTTAACATCAAATCTTAGCATCTTGTTCAGTTGGTAGGCCGTAGGTCACAAAACAACTTGTTTCTTGAAAAGTTGGTTTAATAATTGGAACCACCCAAATGAGAGGCTGCCAATAAATGAATGTTACATCACATTTTCTTAATCAATTCAGAGATATTGTCACATCTTAATGAATAAATTTTGAATAAAAAATGCTTGAATGAAACTTAAAAACCAATGGGCGCCTCAACTGAAGTTAAATAATATTTATCTCCAGAATCTATTCAACACTTATAAATCTAATGGGTTAAGACCTTTGAGTAATTAATCCAGATACTAGAGCCTCACTTTCTGGTAGTGATTAAACTAATTTATTTCTTTTTTTACCACACTACTAGATAATTTCACAAACCTGGGGTGGAAAATTCTGGTTCAAACATTGGCTTGTGTAAAATTTCAGAAAGAGTGGGAAAATTTTGTATGCATGAGTTAAAGATTCTCTGAAACTAAGGGGACCCAATTGGAGGACACTTCTAAACCCTAAAAAAGGACAGAAATGCTCCCTTGGTCCTACCATTTCTGTCGTCTTCTTCTTGTTTTTTATTTTATCTCATTTTTTTTCTGCCAAGAACAATGCAAACTACATTAAGTACTTGATAATATCCAATTTTCCTGGGAACCTGTCCAGGTTTTAAAACCAAAAAAAAAAAAAAAAAAAAAAAACAACCTTTTGTTTCTGATATTTAGAACCCCACTTGTGATGTAAAATTGTAAAGAAAATGAGTAAATCAAGATTCAAAGTCCTTGTTAGTTGGCAGTTCTCAGTAGACATCTACACATTTGATTTGATGTAACCCACCATAAATATGCAGAGGTCTTGGATTAAGACACCTAGCTAATTAATATTATTTGCATAATGTTTGATCATCTTCAACCCCTTTTTGGCATTTGTACTCGGTTTTCATAAGCTAGCTACTAGATTAGCAATCCTTTGTTAAAAAAAAAAAAAAAAAAAAATGATAACTGGGGTTCAGTTTAATTTAATTTATCTAATGAAAGAGAGGTTCAGTTCTCTCTTATTATATATAGCAAACTGATAAAGCAGAATGATTATCTGATAACTTTTTGCTGCATTTCTCTCAAGTGGTCACTGCTTTTATGCCTTTAACCAATTGTTAAACTACTAAATATTAGGTAATGCTGCAAGGACCACCATTTTTGATGAACTGGAAACCAATACTTTATGATAAATAAGATTGGCATGATAAGTTAGTATGTATAGTTGAGGAGTAGGTTTAGGATGCTAACTAAAGAAAATGCATTCTTGATCTTCCTGAATTCATCTGAATTCAGTTTAAAATTTCATGGCCTAAAATTGATCTAAACTTTTGAACTATAATTGGAAACAACTGTGAGACCTTTTGCCTTTATGGAGAGTAAGCTGCACTTCCATTCCAGGAAAGGTCTTGGTTCAAAGTAAGAGTTGAAATTTCATAATAAAAATTGAATTCATTAAATAAGGGAAGGGAAGTTTATGCTTATCCATATACCCTTTGAAGGGTAGAGAAATTTAGTTAATGGTGAAAGCCTGGATGTGTTGGATAAGGATGCCCAGATGCTTTTTAAGCTAAACAATAAAGAACAAATCTGTTTTAAAAACCCGTAAAGTAATTTAGAATTGTATACTTTTGTGGGTTGTATAGTTTTTTTTATAGCTTATAGATCATCGTTGTATGGGGCGGAAGTCTCTTTTAATTAAGAATAATATTATGTCAACAACACTCTTTCATAATTTTGACGAGACAACTCGTAATTGAATAGTTCACAACGGATTTCGCATGGATCCTGTATGAGTTATACTAATAAATTATAAATTGACTAATTACGACTGACTGTCATGCCAAGCCTATGGAAGAAAGTTTATGAAAAATGGTAATGGATATGATATTACTGTTTAATTAAACAAAGTGGGTCAAACTTACCCAGAAAGTACAACCAAAGGAAAAAAATATTGGTGTAGGTAAAAATTCCGATGGAGATCTTATTCATGTTAAAAAAATTACAGTACGACGTTAAGATCATGGTGTAATTTATAAAATTATGTTCAGTTTTCAAGGCTGAGCTATAAAATAGCTGAAAAATTGAAGAGAGATAAAGAGCATTAAATGCAAGCTTGCAGCTTTGTTGGACGCAAACAACACTTGCCTCTTCACTGCTTGCTGGTTGCTGCTACTTACTTCCTACATTCTCTAAATTCTCTCTCTTTATATTCTCATTCACAGCTTCTCTTCTCTTTCCTTCAAAAGACTCTCTCTCTCTCTCTCTCTCACACACACACACACACACACACACAACACAAGCCCCGAGGTGGGAAAAAGAAAAACAGGAGGAAGGCCATGAAACCATCACAAGAATTTTTAGAACAGGGAATACCTCAACAGGTAGTCTTGCATGGCCTGTGAATCTTGCTGGACATTACATTATTTACTTTGTTAGTTTTGAATCTTTATGTGGTCGGAGTCATTATGCTGCTGTTATTGTTGTCTCTTGTCTGCCTGTGTTGTGTGGAGTTGTGATTTTGTGGCTTGTAAATTATTGTACTTCTTTGTAAGTTTCCATTTGGACAAGGGACTTTGAGTTCAATGCTTCTCTGTAAGAACCATGCGTATGCAATGTGATTAAAACTTCAAGGGAGCCTTTCTTTTAAGATTCTCTGTGCTTTCTGGGTGGATATTGTTCCGTTCGGTTCACAATTATGGTATAAAGTGATTTTTATAGAAGGACTCATTGTAAGGTTTTACTTTCACAAGATTTTAATCCCATGGGTTTGAAAGTTTCATAGTTCATTTTACTTCTGTTATTAGTTGGAATCTCTGAAGATACATTGTGAGTGTTTTTGTTAAAAAAAGATAAAAATCTTTTTTCATTAAGTTGAACTCATAAATCATCATTTGAGGTGAAAAAAAAATGCATATCCTGTCTTCCTTGAGGCAGTTTATGCGTTCTATCGTAGTAGAGATCAGTGGTTCTGACATTAAGAAAGTTGAACATTCTTAATGGTGCTGTGTCCTATGATTTTCTTCTGGTTTCCATTGTTTGTATATAGAAATTGTGGATTCAGTTGAACAACCATAAATAGAACATGAACCCCAAAGATAGTGTCTGTACTCAAAATTGTGGAACTGTTTATTACATGGAGCTAACTATGTTAATTATGATAAATATATTTGATAAATTTGATGTCCTGATCAGAACCTGAAGAGGGCATCCTGTACAACTGTGATTACATTAGCTTATCAAAGCCTGGGAGTAGTCTATGGTGACCTCGGTACTTCTCCTCTCTATGTTTACAAAACCGCTTTCTCAGGGAAGTTGAGCCTTCATGAAAATGATGAGGAAATATATGGGGTGCTATCCTTCATCTTCTGGACATTCACGCTCATTGCACTCTTCAAATACATTTTCATTGTGATGTCAGCTGATGACAATGGTGAAGGTAAGACTTTGTATTTCCATTAAAGAACTTATTCATTACTTAATTAACATCATTGAGCTTGTGGATTAGAAGAATTACACCTGGCCCATTAAGCTTAAAACCACCTTTTAAACCCCCCCACCAGGTCGTTTCCAAAATTTGATGATAACTTGTGGAGAAGGGAATTGAAAAAAAAAAAATTTTCTATCAGTACTTTTGTGGACAAGTTTTGGCTTCCAATCAAACTAAAACATCTATTGAGAGAATGTTCATTCTTTTGCAAATAAAACCAATACTGAAGAGTCTCTTATCCTCATTTCTTTCTTCTTACAACTACATGGGCATATTGCAATCAAAATGAAACACGAGTTAAGCTAAGGTATCCTGACACTGTGTAGCCAAAAGATATAGGCTGCTGGTTTTGCTTCACCATAACTTTGTGGTGGACTTTTTCCTTATAACTTATAAACATAGCCCTCCCTTGGAAAAACTGTACTAATTCCAAGAAGTAATAATTTGGAGCTCCATGACTGCAGATTGGACAAGGAAGAAAGACAGCTTATCGATGTCAACTTTTCACTTATGGTGCAGGTGGTACCTTTGCAATATATTCCCTTCTGTGCCGACATGCAAGGCTAAGCATTCTACCAAATCAACAAGCCACAGATGAGAAGTTATCTGCCTATGGAACAGATGGACCAGCAGACACATGGCAGAGTTCTGCTTTGAAGACATTATTTAAAAAGCATCCAAGACCTCGTAATGTTCTGTTGATCTTTGTTCTCCTAGGAACCTGTATGGCAATTGGTGATGGAGTACTCACCCCTTCAATATCAGGTAGCTGCCTATAGTGTTGGCCTCTGTTCTCTTTTGTTTATATCCTGAGTTCTATATGCTCATTACCTTAAGGTTTTAGCTAATTTAGCTAATTCAACCTTACTAATGTTAACTCTGTAAATCATGTGATTACTATGGACTCGCATAATCTTATACTGCGTCCATGAGTTGAGCAGAAAAATGACCTAGTCAAAGATTGTATTGGAACTGGGGTTATTTATTTGCATTATTGTTATGCCCATAAGCTTATCTTCTTGGTCTAGACTTAGAGTAAAAAATTGTTAACTTTTCAATATAAGAGATGACACAAGGAAGCTGGATAGCAGTTCTTGGTGGTGCTTGAACAATGAAAACTAGAAGTTCCAATAAGAAGCTCCTTTCCTCATAGATTATTCTGCATTCTGAAAGGAATCTGATTCTATCAGTTATATGTCCACAAACCCTTTTGTGTATAACAAATGTATATCCAATGTGCATGCGTTAGTGACTAGTTTTTGCCTATTTATCCCTTGTGTGTGTGCCAGTGACTAGTCTTGTCTATTTTAACTTTTGAATTGAATGGATTCTGTTCTAGAAAAGGAGCTTTTTTGAACTAAAATTCTTTTTGCCAGTCTGTCAATTCTATCTCTTTCCATCTTTGATCTGATTGAGTTTTTATAAGTATGATTTGGAAAAAATAGCTGATATATTTCTCCTTTCAGTTCTTTCTGCAGTTTCAGGTGTTCAACTTAAGATCAAAGAACTCCATGAGAGTAAGAGCCACTTCATTGATTGCGAGCTTAATATTTGTAACCCATCAAAAACCAACACCATCTGTTAAAACTTATATTTAATTTCTTTTCTGGCAGATTATGTTGTTCTAATCTCATGTGTCATATTAGTGGGGCTTTTCTCAATTCAGCACCATGGAACACACAGAGTTGCTTTCATGTTTGCTCCAATTGTCACAACATGGCTTCTATGCATTGGCAGCATTGGGGTATATAACATATTTAAGTGGAATCCACATATAATTAATGCTCTTTCTCCGGTTTACATGTTGAAGTTCTTTAGAAGTACAGGCATACCTGGCTGGGTGTCATTAGGAGGAGTGGTTCTTTCAATCACTGGTACCTCTTTCTGACTTACAATGCAGTTTATTTGTTTAACTTGCTGCATATTGAAACTACTGTTGTTTAAAATACTGTCTCAGGTGTTGAGACCATGTTTGCTGATTTGGGGCATTTCACTTCTCTCTCAATAAAGGTACTTCTGTCAGGCACTAATGCCATTGTGTATAAGAAATGAATAGGCCAAAATTTTCTTATGTCTATCTTGGAATTGTAACATCTGGTATTCGTTTCTCAGGTGGCCTTTACATGTCTAGTGTATCCCTCTCTAATTCTTGCTTACATGGGTGAGGCTGCTTTTCTTTCTAAGCACCATGAAGATATTCAGAGAAGCTTCTACAAGGCCATACCAGGCAAGATCATATTGGAGTTTTAAGTAAATATTATTTTTTTAGTTTTTTTTTTTTTCTTTAACTGATGTCATTTTGTTTCATGCAGAACCTGTATTCTGGCCAGTGTTCATTGTGGCCACTTTTGCAGCCATAGTTGGAAGTCAAGCTGTAATATCGGCTACATTTTCCATTGTAAGCCAGTGCTGTGCACTAAACTGCTTTCCGGCCGTGAAAATTGTCCATACATCCAGTAAAATATATGGGCAGATATACATTCCTGAGGTCAATTGGATTTTAATGTGCCTTTGTTTGGCCGTGACAATTGGATTGAGAGATACTAACATGATGGGTCATGCATATGGTACATATTTAAGCTATCTGTTACAGTACAGTTTTAATATATTCTTAAGCCATTCATTGATGCTTACAAATAATCTTTGGTTGTTTTTCTGGGTTTGTAGGGTTGGCAGTGACTACTGTTATGTTTGTGACAACTTGTTTGATGGCTCTGGTGATGATAATTGTGTGGAAGCGAAGGCTAATTTATGTGGTTGCATTCTTGGTGTTTTTTGGATCGGTGGAACTGCTCTACATTTCAGCATGTGTTTACAAGGTTCCAGAAGGGGGTTGGATACCACTTGTTCTGTCGTTGATTTTTATGGCAATAATGTATATATGGAACTATGGGACTATGAAAAAACATGATTTTGATGTGGAGAACAAGGTTTCAATGAATAGGATAGTGGCTTTGGGGCCTAGCCTTGGCATGGTCCGTGTCCCTGGAATTGGACTTGTTTACTCTAATCTAGTGACTGGAGTTCCTGCTATATTTGGACACTTTGTGACTAACTTGCCTGCATTCCATCAGGTTCTAGTTTTTGTCTGTGTCAAATCTGTTCAAGTTCCCCATGTCAATGAAAATGAACGGTTGCTCATTAGTAGGATGGGCCTAAAGGAGTATAGCATGTTCCGATGCATCGTGAGGTATGGTTACAAGGATCTGCAACAGGAGAACTATGATTTTGAGAACCGATTGGTGTCTGAAATATTACAATTTGTAGAAACAGAAGAAGAAAGTGCTCCCAGACCAACTACAGAAGAATGTGTTGGAGACTCAGATATTGAAGTTTTGCATGCTTCAGGACACTCTCGCAAAAAGTCAAATCATAAAGAGAACACAGAGCGATCTTCACATGATTTCCGAGTGACTGAATCAGGTATTGAGCATCCAGATAACTTTCTACTTAAAGATGAATCTCTCCAGATACTGAAAGCCAAAGAATCTGGTGTTGCTTATATCGTTGGTCATTCTTATGCAAAGGCGAAGAAATCATCTTCCATTCTCAAGAAATTTACTATCAATGTTGTATTTGCTTTTCTGAGCAAGAATTGTAGAGAACCTGAGGTGGTCCTGAATGTGCCCCACACTTCTTTGCTAGAAGTCGGCATGATTTACTATGTCTAACTTTCACAAAAAAGCATGCACATTACTGAACAGACGGAGCTGCACAATAAAGGAGCAAAATCTGGTCTTACCAGCAACATAGATGTTTATTAAGTAGTATAGAGTTAGGATGACATTAGGATAATAATATTAGAGAGCCCTTCAATAGGCATAGTTTTCGACTGCTAATCTTCAAGTTTGTATCTTCAGTGAAAGTTGATTATCTGATTTTATCATGTAGCTATAAAGCAGAACTAACAATTCCTGAAAATTTTATGTTCTAAAATTTCAAAGTTCTGCCTCATTTGTGACACAGGATACAAACTGAAAGTGATTCCAAGTTGGCTTCCTTCTCTTGAGGCTTTTACAGAAAGAAAAAGACATCAACAATCAACCTAACCTTGTTTTCCCAGTTGTCTTCCATTGCATTACATGTGTCATTCAACTGGGTTCTGAACCTATTTTTTAATCAAAGAAAACCAACCCACTTAGATCTTGCTCCATATCTTTAATCTTGATAGTTTTTTGAAATGGGAATCTATAATTTACATGGAAAACTGTTTTTTATTTATTTATTTATTTATTATGCAAAAAGGGGCTTGGAGGTTACTCATAAAGACAAAAGATAAAGCTGAGCAACACATTTGAATCATACCTTCCTTAATATATCCATTTGTTACACTGACAAAGAATGTGGATTTGAATTATCAATTATACAAGCTGTTGTGCAAACAAACTGCAACTACCTGGATAATTTTGGTAGGCCATATATTGAGGGAATTCTAGGGAGTATGGACGGCTCAAATGAAGAACGATTCCGTGTGTCCTGGGGCATATATATTACAGATAAAATGAACCCAACCTTTCAATTTCATCATAAAAAACAGGTCCCAACTCTACATTTATTTGGCATACCATCTGTTTATTTATGTTTTGAGTCATCAAGAGGTTAAAAATCTATCAAAAAGTATGTGACCCCTTCTTCCCTTGCCGGCAGGGAATTCAATTTAAGAGCCTAAAGATGGCCATTAAATGGTCCTTCTGGAAAGTAAAGCTAACTTGAAGAGCTTTGAAGTAGACTCATAACAAATAGTACAATGCCAGCGACTGCTCCAATTTAGAACACTTAGATTCTACCCTTGGGAATAAAGTAAGAAGAAATATTAACGAAAGGATTTTAGTCCACCTAGTGACTGCAGATCAAGTTAGGTCAAGAAGTAATCCATTTGCAGAGATGTAACACTGTACACTGTTATATTTTATTAAGCCAATACTGATTAAAAAATAATCTCCAAAGCCAAAAATGAAGAAAAAAGTGATCTATGAGAATAAATAAACTTTCTTTTGATGAAAGTAGAAGTACATAAATATAAAGTAAAAATAGTAGAACTTAGATCTTGTTCTGTTCTGGTAGCTAGCCTGTAATTATCAAAGCTTTTTTCTCTTTTACTTTAATTTTGCAGTGTCAGCATCCTTCACCGCCCTTTCATTAACCTCCTTTTTTCCTTTTCACATTGCTTCACAAGCAAAGAATAACAAATGCAATCTACTAACTAAAACTCCATAACAGGCTACAGGGAGCTAACACCTCCATCTGAAATAATGAAAACCAAATTGACCCAATCGTGAATGGTGCCACCTTCCCTCTCCGGGGCTAACACTTGGACAATAAAGATTGGAAACAGAAGCTCAAAACACAAGCTGTTGGTATTCATCAATCACTCATTTCAGCTTCTATTTCTGCACATGCCTCTCTACACTTTTGTGTAAAACATGTGAAAAAGAAAAAAAGAAAATAAAAAATTGCCTGACCTGAATTATCTAGCTACATGGAAACAAACTTATAATTGAATAGAAGAATAAGAGTTAACCATCACTGGGTGGCCCAACATTCAACTAAGACTCTTAGCTGTATTACTCAATAAGTTTTGAGTTTGATTCATCTGGACTGCTAATAGGGGTGACCACTGAGAAGGTTTACCTAGTGCTAACTTTATAGTTCCAAAGGATTAGTTAAGGTGCGTACAAACTAACCTGTATGCCCCAGTCACCCAAAAAAAAAAAAAATAATAAATAAATAATAATAGTCATAAGGTAAATTTGACCAAGAACAATATGGTGCACCTAACATTTCTGATTATTAGGGACAACTGGACAACTACAACACTCTATCAAATTCTTCTGTGGCAGAAAACAAAAAGAAATCTTTGGTCTATACATTACTAATTTTAAGAATATCCAACAGAAGAAAGCTAAAATTGTGAGAAACATCCTTGTCTATAATACAGTATCCTGCATGCTTACCAGCATATTAAGGGGAATTATATTAATTCTCAAAAAAAAATATCACTCTTCAGGTTTTGGTTAACATTCCTTACTTCAAAAGTAAGAGCATATTTAAAGGAGGAAAGATCAAGCTAGCTATTCAATGTGACTCTAATCAAATCTCCTGCTTTAATTCATTCTTCTAGTGAAAGAAAAATAGAAGAGGGATTAAAATGCCACCAGGAGATGATGAATCACAGATTTCAAGCCTCAAGAAGCAACTTGAAGCCTCTTTTGCTAGGAGTTCTTCACTGGAGAAAGAAAATCATGAGCTCAGACAAGAAGTAGCCCGTCTTAAAGCACAGATAAACTCTCTGAAAGCACACGACAATGAGAGGAAATCGTTGCTCTGGAAGAAGTTGCAGAATTCCATGGACGGTTCGAATACAGATCATGCATCTCAATACAAGCAATACAATCTTGATGATGAAACAACTTTCTGTCCAAAGCCGAATTTTCAAGAATTACAAGGTGGGAAAGATAGATCAATGAATGTACCAAAACCGCCGCCAAGGCCTACACCTGCTGCTATTTCCCATTCACTGAAGCAAGTCAATCAAAATCAAATTAAAGTGCCATCAATGCCAATGCCAGCACCAGCACCACCACCGCCTCCATTGCCATCTAAACTGTTAAGTGGGGCTAAATCAGTGCGGCGTGTGCCAGAAATTGTGGAGTTGTATCGTTCACTTACAAAGAAAGATGCCCAGATGGACAACAGAACCAATGCTTCAGCAACTCCTGTAATGGCTTTCAATAAGAACATGATTGGAGAGATTGAGAACCGCTCAAGCTATCTTTCAGCTGTAAGTGTAACAGTATCTTATCTTTTCATTGAGTTTTTCTCTTTTGTTTTGCAAATATGATTACCTTCTTTGACAATACGCACATTGATACACAGATAAAATCTGATGTCAAAAAACAAAAGGAGTTCATAAATTTCTTGATCAAAGAGGTGGAATCAGCCAGTTTTTCAGAGATATCAGATGTGGAGACATTTGTTAAATGGCTAGATGGGGAGCTATCATCCTTGGTTGATGAAAGGGCAGTGTTAAAGCACTTCCCACAGTGGCCAGAGCGAAAAGCAGATGCTTTAAGAGAAGCTGCTTTCAATTACAGGGACTTGAAGAACCTTGAAACTGAGGTTTCATCATTCGAGGACAACCGCAAAGAGTCTTTGACTCAGGCAACAAGAAGGATGCAAGCATTGCAAGACAGGCGAGCATGTATAAGCTGAATTACTGTAACTTAGTGATGAAATTTGATAGTATAAATTAATATTATTGCATGAATAAACATGGAACTTGCAGGTTGGAGCAAAGTGTTAACAACACAGAAAGAATGAGAGAAAGCAGCAGTAAAAGATACCGGGATTTTCAGATCCCATGGGAATGGATGTTTGATACAGGACTCATTGGCCAGGTAGGTAACACATAGCTTACAAACTAAATTTACTATAAAGCAATTCATCAAAATTTCAACTGATAAAAATGTCTTACCAATAATGTGAAACTTTCTATGGCTACTCAAATTTGTTTGTAAATTAAGAAATGTTGACTGTAAGCAGATGAAACTAAGTTCACTGAGGCTTGCAAAGGAATATATGAAGAGAATAAGCAAGGAGCTGAAGTCCATTAACGAATATTCGCAAGAACAGAGTCTGATGCTTCAAGGAGTTCGATTTGCCTACAAAATACACCAGGTAAACTCAAACCAAACTCCCTACATTGTTAAAATCTTTTCGTTTTCATGATCTCTTTTACCAACAATCAGAATGTTCAGTTTGCAGGTGGGTTTGACACAGAGACCATAAATGCATTTGAAGAGCTGAAGAAAGTTGGTATGCGTAGTCATCATCATCATCATCATAATAATAATAATAATGTATAATTAGGTAACTAAACAGCCAGTTATGTATTATATTGCAAATTAAGGCACTGGACTGGCAAGAGAATGTACTTTACGTTTAGCTTAACAAAACCGTTTGATTTTAGCAGACACAATTATGAGGGATTTTCAGTTTCAATTACAAGCTATAACGATTAATACCCACGACCACAAAGAATTTATGTACAAGATTAAGTGCTTGAAAACGATCATCAAGCGATTAAATTAACATAGCGTGAATGCATGAACCCAACTCGATCAAATTTATTCTCCCAGAAAACGAACGACTTGACGTTTATGTTTCTACATAATAAACGACATGTATATTCAGCGTCGACGGCACGAACGCCTTGCCATTGGTTATATAATGACGACTTGTCGGTTTGTATTGTCAAAGAAATTAATCCTCTAAGAAGGTATTTTAGGTAAAAAAGAAAAAAAAAAATTTTTGTTTTGGTGACCAGGATGTTCGAGTAACCTAAGGTTTTATCATTCGGGTCTATTGGACACTTTACAGGGTCAAGTAACTAATCCCTGAGATCTATTGGGTCTCGGTAGGTGGTAGTCATTTGGTGAAACTCGAAGACAAAATTTTTGGATAACTCAAGGTCTTACCATCTGGGTTCATTGGACATCCTATAGGGTCAAGTAACTAATCTTCATGATCTATTGGATTTTTGGTAGATGGTGATCACTTAGTGAGACTCGAACACAAGATCTCTAAGTAATCTAAAGTCTTGCCATCTAAGTGATTAAAAAAAAAATTATTTCAATAGACCCTGGTGATTTGTCAAGATACATGTAAACATAACGGAACACTCTAGTTACTTAAAATATAAAATAAAAAATAAATAAATAAAAAAAACTTTTTTCCTTTTAATCTTAAGGAGGTATGTGTTACATGCAATGCTAAATCAATATTAAAAAGTTTTTTTTTTTTTATTGAATTTTGAAATTACAGTTCAAATTTCTTAAACACAAAAATAAAAGATAGAAAAATTTGGATAAAGATTAAGCATGTTAAATTGTAATTAACTAATTAATTTATTGGTATATTTTTAGTATCAGAAATAATCTTTAATGTGACAGTTCGTATTTGGTTATTTCGCAAATAAAAATATGAGACCCAACTCACAAATGGAGATACGAGACTCATAATAAACAAGCGAGATTCATTCATAAGTTAACCAATTTTGAATTGCCGTCTTCAAGATTATGATCAGAGCTTGTGAGATTGGATTGTAGGATAACGTTATTCTTTGGCACCTCGTATGACCTTATTTTTATATAAAAATAACGTAATGCGTGGCAGATAATGACTGGTTGCCACGTGAGTAACCGTTGACTATCCACCACATTCAATCGCCCTTGGAGTTGGCGATAATATCCAAGCAAACCAAAAACGAACGTCTTTACACGTGAGCAAAATTCCAGCTCAGCAACGCTCGAGGACAAAGCACCAACCCGACCCGGCCCAATGCCCGTTTACGTGAAAAACAAAACACGCAAAACGCAGACAAAAACATCGTCCTCGTTTCCTCTCCATCTCTCAATCTCTCTCGTTTATCCAAAACGGCACAAAATAAATATAAAGAACTGAATATGCTCTCAATTTTATCGCTCCTGTGCTTAATTTTAAGGCTAAGGTTGAAATCGACAGGAAACTGTCAAAATTTCGCTGCTAAAATTTAATTCTATTGCATTAATTGAGAACGAATTTGAGAATGGGAACGGGAGCGTCGAAGAGTACAGAGGACGGTGGCACCCACGGTGGCGAAGCGAGAGAGGAGAGCCTTGACCAAGCTGGTGGTCAACTCTATGTATCGTTAAAGATGGAGAATTATAAGCTTAAAGGCGAGCTTATTCCTCACGTTTATGGCTCTGTCCCTCTCGTTGGCTCTTGGGACGCTTCTAAAGCTGTATATTCACTTCACTTTTTCTAATTGTTTTATTTATACTGTTTTATTGATTTTATTTTATTTGTTTAATAAATTTTATTTTTGTTTTAATAATTTGAATAGCTTCCAATGGAGCGTGAATCTGCGTCAATGTGGGAACTCAGCTTTGTTGTTCCTTCTAATCATGGTAAGAATGAGGAATGCTATTTGTTTTATTTATTTTTATTTTATTTCTTTGTGCTGGTATCTTTTGTTTGGTTCCTCAAAAAGCTGGCAGAAAGATAGACAATATAAAATGTAAAGGCATTTTTCAGTCTAACATTTTGGAAGTATTTTAACTTCTTTTTGAAAACCTGTTTTATTTCCAGTTTTACTTTTAATGGTTATAGTAGTACTTTTTATATGCTTTTTACAACTAAACTTAGTTGAGTGGACATGTTGATTTTCAAGATTTCAAACAATGGAAAATATAGAGTTTAGAAACTCAGTGAAAATACTTTAACATATAAATTATGAAAGAGTTTAAATTCTTACTTTATATAGACATGTACCACTTTCTATAACTAGAGCCAAAGTCACAACCCAAATTGAGTTAACGTATGGCGCAAGTAAAATGTGCATGGTAGGATTTGGAGATTTAGGTATATAATGGTGCAAGTAAAACGTGCATTGTTTTAGATTTCAGGTCTCTCTTTTTCTTTTACATGTCTTGTGTTGGATACAGAAACTTTGGATTTCAAGTTCCTTTTGAGGCCAACGTGCGGCAATGGGCCTTGCATAGTTGAAGAGGGTCCAAACAGAGTTCTCACTGGTGGTACCTTACAAGGGGATGCGAGGTTGGCGTTTTTTAGGTTAGATAGTGAAGAACTTCTTGAGAGTCGAGTGTTCATTAAAGCAGATAGGGTTTCACCCTTTGATCTAGCGGCTAGTTGGAGAGCTTACCAGGAGAACCTGCAGCCTTCAACTGTGCGTGGAATTCCTGATGTCAGTATTAATTCAGTGCGGCAAGTGGGTCCTGAGGTATGATTAACTAACAGTGTTTCATTTTGTTGGTTTATTGATTGAGTAGACTCAAAACATAATTTTCAAAACCAGCTAAGAGTTGTGTAACAGTAGCACATCAGATGAGCCAAAACACTCTAACTCCTATTGTTCCAAAAGAAGTTTTAAGTTGTCTGTTGAGGCTCCTAATCACTGTTATACCTTGGAAGCTGTTTTCTATGATATCTAAAACTAGCCTGAAAAAGTTATGTAATGTTCACCGTTTTTAAAGTGTCTAAACGGTGTAGATAACAGTAAATTAACTGTCTTTCTAGTTGATTTCATTTTTCTATTAGTTTCAAACATTTGTTTTCATGTATGTATAGTTTAGTATCATGTTCGAGTGGATGGTTATGTGGTATTGACTACAAAAATGTGTGTTCCCTATGCAGAGTGGCTCTTCAGCTAGTTTGGAGCTTGATCTTGAACATTATCTTGTCCCAGCTCCAACTACTTCTGCCAACTCAGGTCAGATTTATGCAGCCAACAATACAGAGACTCCAAGGTCATTGCGCTATGCTGGTGTTTTCTCTAATGCTGAGGGCTCAGGCAGTGTTTCACATAGTGGTATTTCTGCTGATCGACCTGCAACTATAAAGGTTTATCCTGGCAACTGATCTTGTGAATTTATAGACATCTATAGGTTTGCATCTCTGCTTTTTTTTTTTTTTTTTTTTTTTTGCGGTATGTCTTGAAGAATATAATGCAGCCCATGTCACTGCAAAAATGTTAACATGGGCCTTCGATTTTATTGCTGGTACAACTTTCTATAGTTTGCAGTCTGTCCAATCTTTATAAGGTGAACTTTAATTTTACAACTATAAGCATGTCTAGGTCAAACTCACTGGTTGGTTGGGTTGAAATAGATATTGATTCTCAAGTTCTTGAATGGGACACTTTTTATTGTTACTAACTGTTTTTCTGCTTTGCTGGCAGATATCTTCAAAATTTTCCTTCTTCTGTTCTTACTCTGATACTCTATATCTAATGATTTTTACACAGGAGATGGAGGTCGTTGTTCCCGACCCATCAAAGGTGTATTCTGGTTCTGGGATGAGTGAATCAAAGTCAGTGGGTACATTTTCTCCTTTGCAAAAACAAGATAGTTACAGGGGACTCTTTGTGGATAGGGGTGTTGGATCTCCTAGGCTAGTCAAATCAGCTAGTGCAAGTACTTTCACTATGGACCTCAAATTGGATAATGAAACCAACGTTTGTACTACTGGACATATCTCCTTTTAGTGAATATTATGCAAGTTATATTATATGCTGTTTCTGGCGGTCATTTGACGTTTTTATTTTTCTTTCTGTTAATTGTTAGAATTCAATGCCAGCAGCTGCTGGAGCTGTTGCAGCTGCAGCTATAGCTGACCAGATGCTTGGGCCAAAGGAGGATCGACATTTGGCAATTGTCCTGGTATTTTTCCTTAATGAGTAATGAGTCAGTTTGTAATCATTTAAAGCCATCCTTTTTGCACTTTTCCTCAATTTAGTCTTTAACATAGTGTGATAAATTCAAATACAGAAGGTCCCATTTTTAGATGGCCTGAAAGTTGGATTTTGGAAATAAATACCTATATTATTAATTACCTCAACAAAGTTAAACCATGTGTACTGTCAAAAACAGGTTTTTCTTAACAAGTTGTTTGTTCATCAGGTTGGTTTGCCTGCTCGAGGCAAGACTTTTACTGCTGCTAAACTTACAAGATATCTTCGCTGGTTGGGGCATGATACCAAACACTTCAATGTTGGGAAGGTTATATCTATTACAACCACAATTTTGCTCATGCTTCCATCTTTACTCAATGGGGAGAAAATATGTATAGAGAAATTAACTTGACCCTTTCTTTCATTTGGTTGTAACAGTATCGACGCCTTAAGCACGGAACTAATCAGGTACAACTAAGTCGCTCATGGTTTGAATTTTATCAAATATTGTCAAATGCTTAGGCAACAGAATATTGTTATAATTTAAGTGTGATTTTACATGTGTGATGAAATTGACCTAGTGACCTTCAGCGTGGTTTATTGATATTACTAATACTATAAAACGCTCGAGGACAAAGCACCAACCCGACCCGGCCCAATGCCCGTTTACGTGAAAAACAAAACACGCAAAACGCAGACAAAAACATCGTCCTCGTTTCCTCTCGATCTCTCAATCTCTCTCGTTTATCCAAAACGGCACAAAATAAATATAAAGAACTGAATATGCTCTCAATTTT